ACAGAAGGGTATTCTGTTTTTCTCCTGATTCTTCATGCTAGTACAATTCATATGTGCAATGTACTTCTACAATGCTTTATGTTTCATAATTGTTCCTTGAAGTATTTCTTTAGAAGAAAGTTCTTTCCCTGTGATTGTTTCTTGGACAAAATTGGCTAGCCTGTTTGGTAACTTTAGTGGCTTATTATTCTCTGTATGAATTCTGAATATGTTTTCTGTGGTCACTGACCTTTGACCTGTGATTGAGTATAGCTCGTTTTGTCATTCTTGACATGACAATTGCTTCAAATGTATATCTCACACACCACTCTTGTGATTGTTACGTGCTCATCATCCTCCATTTTACATGCATATTGAAATTCTTGAAATAAGGGTGTGCCTGAAAAGATTCAGGCAGGAGGAAACTCGATAATAAATCATGGTTACATAACTAGGTGGTATATATAACACAATTATGTAATGGTCCACTGTGCCTCAGGTATTGACTATCAGATGAATAAAACATATAGTCTGAGGCATAACTAGATATGGTTAAAAATTGTAATTTGTGTAGATAAGGGCTACTCCATAATATGTCCAACCTAGATAGATCTTTTGCATGAGATTCCACACTAATTCTTTTGAGTTTTTTTTAAAGAAATTTCTTGATTGTTTCATGTGTTTTTCTAACCCATTGTTCTTTAGTTCAGCTGGTGATTGGAGTGGGACTGCTCTACCTTCCAATTAAAAGTTTCCTCACCCCCCTTGTTTATGCATTCCATCTATTTGTATCTTAGCTCATTTCTTAGGTAGGTTACTTCTGTTTTTGAAACCTCAAGTTTGTAAGGACATTGTTTCACAGGAAAAGGGTACAGACTCTTCAGCGAAGTCTACGCCTCATTTAACAGCTCGGCCTAATTGTCCTGCATATTCTCTACCAATGATCCCTATGGATAATGATGATGGAATTCCATACGAAGGTTTGGTTAACACATATATTAGGGAGGACTTTAGTGTTTACCAATATAAAAATTACAGCTGGGCTGAAGCTTGCAGCTGAACATTTTATGCTCAGTCAGTGTAAAAAAAAAACCTTGTTTTCTATTAAAAATTATTAAATTTGATCAAGCTTAAAACTGGATGTACCATGCACGCTGGTTCTTTGGAGCTGACAAGGGTTGGCGACCACATAGAGTATAAAAACCTTACATCGAGTTTAAGATTTATCGACTGATCTTTTTTATAGAAAAAATAATATAGGGGTTGAGAGTGAATCAGATTTGAGATGTCAATATAGTGAATTTGCTTTCTTTACACTGTTTTCTTAAAGAATTTGAATTTTCTTTTTCAGCCATTGGTGGTGTGACGGGAGAGCTGTTTGAACAAAATGCTCAAATGTTTAATCAGATTTCTGCAAATTTCGCAGCTTTCCAGGTGAAGGATATAGTTTCAAACTTTCCATAAATTTTCCTTCACAAATCACAATTATGTGCTAAGAAGATCTGCACTTGATATTCTTCTGAGGAATATTTTATATAATTTTACATTCATTAGTGCTGCTGTTGCTTAATTTCCCTTTGTGTGGTCCTCTCTCTCATTTTTTTTATTGTCAAATAAATCATTGTATTTTATTTGAGTTGAAATCTTTCTTTATGTTCTCTAAATCTTATTATAAATTCTTTTTCCATCCCTTGTTTATATTAGGCCATTGTTGGTTTCGATTGAAAGCGGCAACAAGATAAAATAATGGAATGAGAGGAAAGAAAAGAAAAGAAAAAGATATCAACTTACAGAAATGAACTTAATTCCCTAGTAGCTAATTACTGTATTTATTGGTATTATTACGTTGTTTTCCACGCAGGTACATGACAATATAAATCTCTTATGCAAAGCGCGGGACAACATCCTCACAATCATGAATGAGTATGTTGTTATCTTTATGATTTGAGGAGTATGGTATCTTTGTTGCATGCTATTTCCGGTAAAGACATTTGCAATAGTTTCATGTGACATTTAGTTGGTTCAGAATTCATTAGCTGAGGTCATAAGTGGAAGTGAAAAAGGTTAAATCCTTCTTCATGGTTTAGGTAATGACTGAATGATAAATGGTTTAAATCTATTGGTGCCCATCCCCAGCCCGAATTTTTTCCATAAGGGATTGAAGTCTGATCCATTATTCCTATTTTTATTAACGCCTACTGGCTCAGAAACTGCGTAAATGATTGGTTATTGGAACCAGTATGAGGATGACCAAGCTCTTCACTCGGGACCATGGGTCTCCATTTCTAGGAACAGTCGGATAAAGACGATCCTGTTGTAGCTGCCTCTCTGGATAGAGGGGAATCATAAAAACTTCCACCCTTCATGAATGCATCATTTATTGCCTTATTTATATCATGCACTTCTTTAATGATACTGTTTTATTTTTCCTTTCCAGTTTGAATGACCTGCCAGAGGTAATGAAGCAAATGCCTCCACTTCCGGTCAAGGTAAACGAAGAACTTGCCAGCAACATCCTCGGTCATTCATCGCCTCGGATGAAATCATGATTCGGTGTTTTGGGGTGGGGGGGGGTCTTACCTATACCCAACCATTTGTCTCAGAGCAGGGAATCAAGTAAAATAAGGTAAAAATTAAATCATTTTGTCAAATTAAAGTAGTTTTCCATGTGTGTTATTTCTGATAAATTAGAATGCAATGATTTATGCTTGTGTTCACGTTTGGATTAATTTTAGGAGCTATGTAGGATGTGAATATTTAGTTGCGTAGAAGGAAATTACTTGCTGTATTATCATTTGCTTATATTAGTTGCTCACCGGGACATGGTGTCCAGTGCTGGATACTTGTGGAAATTCATTTTTATTTTTATACTTCGTTTCATATATTTGAAGGATCAGATTTCATATTCATATCTAAAGATACGTCAGAATACATGATGTACATCAAACCTTGTGTAAGGGTGAATAAAATTTGATCCAATTTAATGTTTCTTCTTAATTTCAAGTTGTTTGAGTTAATTCAAACTAATTTTAAGTTTGAATAAAATCTGAATTTTAGAACTTCTAATAACTGTAAAACTGAATGTTATAACCGTCCTCTTGGTAAAAAAAAAAAATGGCAGTCCCTTGTTCTCCCATATGTAATGGGGTAAGGGGAGGTAAGATAGTAGGCTGCTCCCAACACCAGGTTGAGAGAGCAGCTTCCATAGAAGACCTCCGAATTATGAAATGCACTCGATCCCGCGATCTCAAGGTTAAGAACCTTGTGCTATACCAACTACGCAAAAGGAAAGAAATGTTAATTCCTTTTTACCCCGGCATCCCCATGCCTAGTAGATCAGCTCTCGGTGCTCGAACCGGCGTTAGAGTCGTCATTGCCGGCGATCGTGGCACCGGTAAATCCAGCCTCATCTCAGCAGCAGCCTCTGACTCTTTTCCCGACTATGTTCAGGCTGTTCTCCCCCCAACTAGCCTCCCATCTGACTTTTATAACTGTCCTCTTGGTATTTACAGTTAATTGGTTTGTGATTTGGTTCATCATTATTTTATTTTATTTTATTTTATCAATTCTGCTATCCTTTTAATTTCATTTTGATTAAATTTAAGTCATGTGCACCTTAACAATAGAATACTCGTGTAACTTTAATCCTTTTTACAATAATTTCTTTCTAATTTAGTTTTTTAACTTTTCATACTATTTAGTTTGATCTTTTCGGTGTAACAATTTGCAGATTCTTTCTTTCCATTAATTTCTTTAATTTTTTTATATTCGTATCAATATTTTATCTTTAAAATCTTTTATTATAAAAATAACATTTCATTTTTCATTTATTAAACAATAAAGTACACAAATGATCTTCGATTATGTGATGTTATTTTATTAAGTCCATCGACTATTAAAAGTTATAAAATGGTCTTTTGATTATAGGGTGGTGTTTTGTTGAGTCCATCGATTATTAAAAGTTACAAAACAATCAATTGGCTATTCTTATGTTTCAAATTTGTCCTTTTTGATAAAAAAAAATAAATTGTCGTATGAGCAAGATGTTAAAATGCTAACCGATATATGATAGTTGTTTAAATTTTAAGATAAAATTTATCATATCACAACGAAAAAAGATAAGTTTGAAACATATGAATAGTCAGATGATTATTTTGTAACTTTTAATAGTCGAAGTATATAACAAAACAACACTCTATAATCGAGTGATCATTTTGTAACTTTTAATAGTTGAGGGATGCAACAAAACAACATCCCGTAGCCAGGGAATCATTTGTGTAATTTACCCTAAATAATATTATAAATCTTACACGTGAAAAAAATAAGAAGAATTATATTTATATATAGTATATAATTAGAGAGTTTAAATTAGAAATAATATCATGATTTTACAAATAATTACAATTAAATTTGAACAAATCTATTTGATTCGACTTAAATTTATAATTTGATACAAAAAGAAATTTAAATAAAATTTGAATGATAACTTAATATTCGTAAATTTTATATCTAATCTCGATTTCATGAGAACTACACATCGTTAAATTATTACCCTAGTTTTAAGTTGATATTTAAACTTTTGAACATTCTAATTTCATCTAAAACTATGACATTATATATTCATATCTATACTTTTGAACATTTCAAATTAATCCCAAAATTATAACCCCCATTTTAAGTTGACCCCCAAACTTTTGAACATTTCAACAACATCCCAAAAATCATTTAAAAGTTCGAGTGACAAATTTAGAATAAGGATCATGATTTAGGGATGAATTTAGAATATTCAAAAGTTAAGAATCAATTTAGAATGAAAATCATAACTGGAGAATGCAATCAAAATGTTCAAACGTTTAATACCAATATAAAATAAAAGTCATAATTTGAGGACGTAAAATACAATTTAAAATTTCTTTAAGTAATTTAAATGTTGGTCCTATTAACATCTCCCCTTTAATAATTAAAACTTTCCACTTGGAACTAATGTGCTATGAGAGCCATCTACTTGGCATTTGAATTGCAATACCCAAATATCAAACTCTAGGGTAGAATAAGAGTAATAGGACCACAACCATGAATAAAAGAACCGTGCATCACAAGCAAGGCGCAGAAAAATACAAAAAGCATACAACACAAGTTACTTGTAGGTTTCCAAAACACCGTATGCACAATGCTTCAGTGGTCCCAATGCTCATGGTCGGACTCCATTGCGTTCACATTGGGCCTTATTGTTGTTGACGCCGCATGGCATCTACTTCCGACAAGTATCACAACAAATAGTTCGAACAAAGCACATAGAAATCTTTGTAGAATCAGCGTCCTGAGAGGTCCACCAATGGTAGTTTCCAACAAATCATGATTTTGCACTCATGATGAATATAATGCATGCTTCAAAACAAAACCGAGGACCGACGATAATAATAACGAATATTTTGTGAATTGAAGGTAGCTATTAACATGGAAGGATTGAACAAGAAATACATATTTAAGTAGCTTCATCACTGAACATTTCTAACATACAGCAATAAGTATCTGAGATTGGAATTTCTCAAGCAAAGTGCTAAAAAGCTGATATTATTGACCGACTCGTTTGGAAGACTCTGAATCAAACCAATGGAATACGAAACAAGGTGAAATTTCATGAAGCTAGTTTTTGAGAGTAATAGATGTTACCCAACGCGCCGAAGTTGAATCCGGGAGCAGTTTGTTCAGGTTCCTTTCCCTTGTTGAATTTGTTGAAGAAGAGCTGCTGCTAGCTGTAATGTTGCTTGCAAGCGTTTCTGTGGATCCCCATCGCCTTCCTCCGTTATGCCGGTACCTTGCAGTTGACTTCTTTGAGTTTCTTGAGACACTGCTGCAGCTGAGTTCCATGTCTGCTGCTGTTGCAACTGCTGCAGTTGAGAAAACTGAGATGCTGAAAGCTCTGGAACAGCCTGGTTATTTTGTAAACCGTACCCCTGTTGTAGTCTCATCATGTCGGAGTGGTCCATTGTGTTTGTGTGCTGAAAATTCTCCCCCATTGAAGCATTTGCAACATTCCCAACCTGCCCTTGCTGCCCAATAAGAGATGACGCTAGTTGTGCTAGTTGTTCTGGTTGAAGGGCATTAATCGGCATAGACGGAGATTTGAATTCAGGCATAGAGGGCTTGCTATTTCCAGATAATGGAATCCCAGAACTTCCACTGGTACTAGAATATGTTTCTTGCACTGCCCTTGGCATAACTGATTGATGTCCCTGAATTGCTGGATCAAAGCCGGAAACTTGAGGGCCATTTCTGTTGACAGAAGCCGGACGCTGCTGATCGAGAGAAGACCAGCCTGGTCCATACACTGCGTTTTGCTGGGGTGCATAATCATGCTTCTGCTCATGATACAAGTCCGATACATTTCCAACAGAATGAGCAGGCCCGGAAAGTGAAACAGGTGGAGCTGATGTTGCCCCATTACCCGAGTATGAGGAGTCTTTAATACCTTGCCTACTTAATTCTGGATAAGGCATAGAAGGAAATGGCCCTGAAGTTGTTGATGGCTTTGCAAAAGATGTATCACCATAAAAAGGAAACGAGTTTGAATCGCCTCTTACACTTGGATGAGCAGAACTGGTGGAACCAGAATGATCTAATCTCAAAATAACACCTGAAATGCTCAGTTTCCCAGGTACTTTCAGTACTTTCTCGGAAAAATCTGATGGTGGTACAAGAAATAAAGTGGTTTTATCGTCTAATTTAGAAACAGCTGCTCGCTGCTTCTCTCCCAGGTAATTCATGAATTCGTTATAGAATCCCATGTCATCGTCACTTTCTGGAACAAAGAAAACAACCCAAGCACTAGATGCTTGATAATAATGCTTTGCAAGCATGTCTAAACCAGTCCTTGCTGTGCAATCTAAGAATTCAGGCCTGCAGCATCAAGGTAGGGCTAATAAGTAAAATTTGTTGAAGGATGGGTGGTAAATGGAAATGACGCTATCAGAAAAATTATGTGATGCCTTGTGAAGTCGAAAAGATGCATTCATTTTTCATGATCACTTTCCTTTTTCTTTTGGTAAAATCTAAAGTTAGTACATAAATACTTTGCAGAAATACTTCTACTTCATATTGTATCAAATCGTTTAATAAATAATTAAATCTTTATTCTACCAACTAGAAATATGCAGTCAATTTGTGGCTTAAAACCATGACCTGAATAGGGGAAACAAAACTGGGCAATTCCACTTCACAAGACCCGCTTTTATGATAACGGAGGAATCAGTAAGAACAAATGTTATCCATGAGAGGTTTTTTTACTACTTACAGCATCATGTCAAGGACTGTTCCAACAGGAAAGCAGCGAGCACGACATACAGGTGTTCCACCCTTGGCTATTGTCCCCTCCCATTTCCACTCTTTCAATGATGGCTGATCCAGCTCCTGAGTAAATCTTTTCCTCTCAGCAATATTTGATTGTAGAGAACCAGAAACAGACCCTACCGGAAAATCATCGTAAGATGGCTTCCAGTGATTGTTCCTTTCTCCACGCATTGAAGTAAAACTCGTTTGCCGATCAGTAACCTGTTTATACCCCAAAGCTGCAGGCTCAAAGTGCTTATCAAAGGCTTCAGGTTGAGGAATATCAGAGAGCATCCTTGGAAAAACACGTTTTTCTTGTTCAAGATCAGATAAATTGTACTCTGGTAACTCTTTCTCAGGAGGAAAGGAACCGGTTCTCATTTTCTTGGCACCATGGACGGGATAGTTGTCTTCAGGCATATCCCAAGGTTCTTCGTAGAATGCATTTTTCTGAGGTAATTTTGGAGGATAATCCTGGTACCTTATTGGACTTTTACTATGTTCATAAATATCTTGTGGTACTCGAGGATCAGGCTCCCCTTCCCCAAACCTCCGGGGTTCATATGTATTTCCACCAGTCCATAAATTACCTTTCCTCTTGAAACTATAGACATCATCACCAGAATCATAAGTTGACATATAAGGAGATCTGATGCTTGCATCTTCTGGTAAGTCTGAATAGCTCCTATCATGCAGAAAGTTCTCAGAAGATCCCAAGCGACCATTTGACCTGAAATGGGGAGAGTTGGGGGAATTCACTGAGCCCCTTCCACCGGAGGATGACCCACCATCACTTTTCGCGAAACAAATATGCACACGGGGATTACCAAATAACTTCCCCTGAAGAGTCTCTTTTGCCCTGCAAGCTGCTGATAAGCGCGTAAAGCGAACAAAAGCATAGCTACGTCCTGGAAACACAGTAATCTTCTCTATCTCACCAAATGGAGAGAAAGCCTTCTTCAAAATCATTTCATCCACTTTCAATGAAGCTGGAAATCCTATCCAGAGGACCTCACTGGGATCACCACTTCTATCACTCCCCTTTGATTTGTCATGGGTAAAACGTTCAGGGCTAGTACGACGTGCTCTATTGTCCCTTGAAGAGAAAGGCGACCTTACTTTAGAGCGTTGCTCATCTCGATGGGGCAAGTAGTCCTCATCACGTGATGGTGTTGATGACTTATCCTGTAATTAAGAATATCACCAGGTAAGGGGAAAACCAACCCTTACTAAAGCAATCTTATATAACTCTAATCCAGATTGATCAAGTTTAAAATGAAAAAGGTAGAGAAATCAGGTGGATTGATATGGAGAAAGAAATTAAGTTGTGCATATGTACTAGTATATGCAGGACTAACCATTTCAGTACATATGCACGACTAACCATTTCCAGTGGCAAACGCACTCTAAAGACATTGGACAATGGTATTGCAAGCTTCTGACGCTAATGATTAATATGTTAGCAAACCATATCAAGTGCAGGGCTTGTACACTTGATATGGCTTGCTAACAAAATAACCAGCCACTGTGCTAATTCTCCTCAAGATCCTACTGCCTCAGTGGTCAAGGTGGAAGTAAAAACACCTAATAGGCATAGTATTGGAGATTTTGACTAAATTTGTCAGATTAAACATCCCTTTTTGAGGGTGTGAAATGCTCTATAGAATAAGCCCCGAGGATTTGTAAACTATATATTTTTTCTCTCTCATGAATTGATGGTGTTGCAATTTATGTACTTTTTTTTCAATCAATATGCTTCAATGTCAAAGGATCAACTACTTATGACCTATAAAAAATCAATCAGAACCAAGCCTCTATAGATTTGTGCAAAATTTGATGGGAGGCAATAGATTTTCATTAGTATCCCTTGCTTCTATTTAATCACATGCATACTCCAAATCTCTTAACAAATTGTAGAACAGCAACTAAACTTTCATCAAGCAAACCCCAGCCAAAAGAAGTTTAATGTCCATAGTTCTTAAGAGTACATATTAAAAACTTAGGTAAACTAACAACACTTCACACAGAAAAAAAATCTCCCTGCTCTAACAACAAATTCACCCACCCATTCACACATCTCATCATAAGTGAAAAACAATGCCATTGATTCACAGCACACTAACACATGTAATTGTATTGTAACCTGCGGGTCTGCCACAAGCACATGTACGCCTTAAAGTTTGCAGAGAAGATTAACAATATGACATAAAAATCATGCTGTGCAACTGAGAGGTGCATCATCATAGGTAGAAAACATCAATCTTATGAACATACAAGAGTTTTCATCACTTCTTAAGTGAACGCGGTCACTGACAGAATAGCTAGTCAATAATAGTTCCCAAGTCTAGTCCTGCAAACCTTGCTCAAAGAACTCATACCACAAGATATTAGAGTTTCGAGTTCTGAGAATAAATATGGCAAGCAATGATAGCCAGCTCATCGTATAAATCTTGACTTAATACGCACATTGGTTTTGTATTCGATTATAATCTGAAGGCATCATATATACATTCAAGACTACCTAGAACTCCTACATCCAGAAACAGAGATGACAGTTTTAAAGCAATCAAACAACAAGGCTTGCTTGATTTATCTATGCCACCCCGATTTTGCCGTCCTTTTTGGCACCAACTCAATCTTGAAAAGCAGAGAGATTTAAAATAATAATTATGACATTAAATGATCATTTCAGCACTGAAAAGCTACTTTTCAGTCATTCTTTGCAATTAATAATTTGCTTAAACTAAGGGGTCGTTTTAGATTGCATATGGCCAACAAGTAGCACGAAATATATAGTGAAAGTAATGACTAATTATCATGGTATTCCAAGGTTTATAAACACCCCCTCATAAGGGAATGTACACAAGATTAGCAATGTGTCCTGGGACAAGTCGATGGCACAAGGAAGACAGAGTAGGTATTTACATCTTGTGTTCCATGGTGCATTGAGTGGAGAGTAATTCTGGATTTACGCTGTTCCTGCTGATATGGAAACATTTCAGAGAAAGTACAGATATGGACCCCGAAAGCTTGCTGTCACATCTGTTAGCATTTGAGAAACATATTGCTTTTGAAATCTGACTCTTTAATTTATATAGTTAAAATTTATACTTTTGAGACTTTGTAGATTAGGAAATGTCACTACTATCAATTTAGCATAAATCAATGTTAATGATCTTCCTTCTGCAGCTTTCCACTACAGTGCATGATTCATTTCTTGAAATTTCAAATTAGATTGGTGTTTTATTCAAGATCTAGTGATCATCAATTCAGGTTATTTTCCTCCGTTTCTCTTGACTCCAACTTTCCTATATCAGAATTTATCATTAAAACATTTAATTATTTCATTATTCTTCATGTATCCTTCAAAAAGGACACACATTAGAACTCAAGTAATATTTATTGCTAGCAAAGAAAAGGTTAATGCCCCATGAATCTTGTTAATGATACATTATCCTCAGTTATTCACTCATACTCGTATGCAATCCATGGTATGCTTCATGATGTCAGCAGACATAAGAGTACTTCTAGATCGTGTAGCACAAAAATGGCCTAGAAAACTTAAAAACAATCTACTTCACCAGAAAACATATGTTTATTTTCAAGTGGCTGCAGGTGTGAGCATATCTATGGATCATGGAGGTCGAGGAACATATCTTTATGCAGCAGAAAAATGCTGTATCTTGTGTATGCTATATTTTCTTTCATGTAGAAAATTTTCAGATTGCTGCACAGGTTACAATTCCAGTATCAATAGCATTGATGATTACACTGGCATGTACACTGCTCTAGGTCAATATACTTAATCCATCATATTCAACAGTTCAAATTTCAATAGCTGTTTTGCCAGGGTAATTAAGTTGCTAAAAGCTATAATCTGACATTGATGAAATTGATAAAAGTTAACAACTAATCAACTTATTTAAGTCACTGAAAGCTATAATCTGACATTATATGGATTGCGACTGTGCAATTTATGCTGAGTGCCTGGAATGAACTGGGAGAATAACAAAACAAGGAAGAAAGCTTATTGACAAAAGAATGCATCCCTTGTAATGGAGAACCCTTTTTGAGTTTTATGGTTAAGTAAATATCTTTTGAAATCTGAGTCGTGGATAGGAAATGAATAGCATGATTCCACAAGCATCTTCGATGAAAATGCAATCAACATGTTGAAATCAAGCGAGTGGGCAGAAGGAACTAATTTACTCTTATTTTGCCTTTTTCTTTTGTAATGTGATTATTCTTGACATAATTTAGATTTGTGGACCCGATAGTGTACAATTATGGTTATCAATACTCTAAGGCATAATACTAATTGCCAGACCAGAAAAGGTTTTGAGGCTGTTTATGTAATTTGGAAGACCATGCTAAGCCTTACCAAACATCTGAACACTTGGTGCTTGCTTTGGTTTTTATAAGTTGCTATTAAAGGCAAACTTTGCTTATGAAATGTGCTGTGGTGGAGGATATTGGATTCCTAAAGTTGCTGCTATTGGGAGAAATAAACAAATAGAGGATTTCCTCACAAAGAACTATATAATTTAAGTGAAATAGAATCATGATTATGATGTCCACTCTTATTCCTGCTATGATATTTTTTGTTATGGAATGAATCCTCAAGCATATAAGCACCTGAGGTAATTTGGGTTGCGGACCTAAAATTTTTCTATTATTTTTAACCAGGAACTTAGATGGAAACTGCTAATAATTCACAACCAATTGTTCAGTTAAATGGACTGAAACACCATGTTCTTTATTTATAGGCTCTTTTGGTTGCTACTTGCACTGTTTGCATTCTCAAATTTTCTTTAAAAGAAACGGGCAACATTGTAACACAAAATCACAAATTTTAAAAATGAGCAATCAAATAAAAATATTTAACACCTTCAAATATAACTGTTTAAAAACAATTTGAAATTTTGGCATTAAGAAAACAGGCTTTTCCTCTTTGTTTCCATAAGCAGTAAAGCAAGCAGCTAAACTAATATCAACCAAACAGAGCCTAGCAAAGTTAAGCTAATACTCTTTCCCAATTCTATTTTAATTTTGAGGATCTCTTTTGTTTTTCATGCGGTTGGATCAAGTTTTTTTTTAAGATCTTGATTCATGAGCTTCCTTTGACTTCCCTGCCAATCCTTAGCTACTAAACGCACAAATTTTGGGGATTCAATCAAATTTAAATTAATTCCGGGAAAAAACAACAGTATCAAAAGATAAAAAAGTAATATTAGTAATGGTTCAAGACTAACCGCCTTGGCAAACTCAATCCTAAGAGGATTCCCAGCAACGGGAAAACCTTGGAGCGCCCTCATAGCGGAAATAGCTTCTTCATCGTTCATGAAATTGATAAAAGCGTAGCTTCGACCAGGCTGGAATGCGACGCTCTCCAGCTCCCCAAACTGCAAGAAGTGCTCTGTCAGGTCCGGCTCTAGTATACTGTGGGATATATTCCCCACCCAAAGGTGTCTCGACGGCGGCGCATTACTCCGACTCGATCTTCCAGACGGCGGGTGGTCACGCCGCGATCTGTCCCTGCCTCCGCGGCCAGACTGAAAACAATTCATTGAAATAGCAAAACGATGAAAGATTATCTAAGTGAAAATATATGAGATGGTAGATTAGATTGCAAGTTGAAAAATAACTGACCATGACGGATTTTTCTGAAGAATTTAGGGTTCCCCCTTTTCTCGGATCGATTTAGGGTTTTGAAAATCAATAAAATTGGGACTGATATGAGTGTAGGTAAATAATTTTCTTTCTTTCTTTTTTCTTATAAAAAAAATACTTCTTAGGTTTGGGATTTACAGGAAAATAAAGAAAGAAAGAAAAAAAGTAATTTTTTTTTATAATCGTGTTGGCGTCGAAGTGTAAAACTCAACCATACCCTCTACTTTATCTTTACTTTTTTGCGGTAATAACAAATGGGTAAACTACACGTTTAGTACCCATATTATTACTTTTGTTCTATTTTAGTTATTCAATTTTTTTAAAAATCATATTTAACATTAAATTCTAGTTTCATTTTAGTCACTAACTGTTAAAAAATTAACAATTTCTGTCACAATATCAAAATTAAAATATTAGGCATCGTTTAAGATATCCAACATCTAATCTCACAAACTCATTAAATGATTTCGATGATAAAAAAAGATGTTTTTCTCTCTCTAAATATCTCAAATTCGGACAATTGTATTTATAATGTGTATAGTCATCCTCAACTTGGGAAGAAATGGTTAACCGGGCTTCTTCAACTTCGAAAGGGAAATCCTTACTCATTACAATTCTGAAGATTTCTTGGACAACCTATATTTACACATTGTGGGAGGAAATGAATCACAAAATCTTCCAAGGCCGTCACAGATCTACAGATGAATTGCTCAACGTTATTATTGAAGCTGTGCGAATCCAACTTAAGGGTAAAAATATTAATAGAGCTAATAGAATTAATTCAAACCTATGTATTGCTTGGAGTATTACTTAATCAGTCTTTGCTTTTGTAACAGTTGTGTATAATTCTTTTGTATTGATTGATTAATTGTTTTTTGTAGCAGAACACTGCTCTTTGAATAATAAAATTTTGATTTATCAAAAAAAAATTATTTAAAACGTACCATTCCACAAAACTAACTGATAATTAATTGAAAGGAAATTTATTTAATTTAATTATTATTTTAGTCTACATTCTTATTTAGTTGATATAAATACTAATATTAAAATTACAATTAATGCTTTCGTATAATTAGCATTGACATCAATCATAATAATTATATAAATAAATCAACAATAAAATTATATCCACTTTTTTTTTTTTTGTAGAAATCTGCTAGTTATATTAAAAATAGAAAGTATTTATAATTGCAATAAAGATTTCTGAGCATGACCGTAAACATAAACTAAATTATAATTAGGACATTTTCCTATAACCATTAATACAAAAACTAGCCACCTAGATCCAATGTTTTTAAAATCGGATCGGACATTGAACTAGTAAAGGTACTGGTTCACTGGTTCAACCGCGGTTGAACCGGATTTTATATAAAATAATATAATTTTTTTAATTTTACATAATATTCAAAGCAATATTAATATATATGTAACACTTTTTTTAAGTTTACAATATTAAAAGGTATAAAAATATCACAAGTCATAACATATATAAATTAAAAATCATAAAATCAAGTGAAACAAAATGATTCAAATAAACTACAATATAATATTTAAGGTAAAACATATTAAATAATAAATATAATTATATAACTATAATAAAAAAATAAAATTGGGGCTTAAAAAATCATAACAAATGATGTCATTTGGTTTAATTTTTTTAAAAAAAAACAATCCCATATGGCTAAGAAACATAGAAGAGCATCCCAAAAGTTTAAAGAGTAAAAATATGAGAACAAAACAATCTCACATGGTTAAGAAACATAGAAGAACATCACAAGTTACTTCTATAAATAATAGAGGTAATTTGACATTCAAAATCATGGAGCCTTTTAGTGAGCGCAGAGCGAACTATTCTTTCGCTTCAATTGAGCTCAAAGTTTAGACTTCAATCTAACTTCTAATTTTTTTTTGAGTTCGAGCCTTTTTGAGTTCAAGTTTTAATATTATATTTCGAGTTCGAGTTGAACTTGATAATTTTTAGCTCATGAGTTTTTGAGTCGAGTTGGGCTTACTTTTAAAGTTTTCGAGTTTGAGTCGAGCTAAGCAATACTCGAATTTGACTCGGCTCGTTGAACAAACGACGTCGTTTGGTTTAACTTTTTTTTAAAAGAAAAAAAGTGAATCGTGGTTCAAACCGATTTTGCCGGTTTTCAGCTGGTTCACCCCGATTTTACTGGTTTTCAGCCGGTTCATTGCTAGTCTGGTTTTATGAGGTAACCGGACCGGACAGACCACCGGTTCACGGTTCAACCGGTTGAACCGGCTGGTCCTGTTTTGATGACCATGCCTAGATCACACAAAGACCATAAAAGGAAAATGTTAAAAAACCTAACCAATGCTCGAATAAAATAAAGATACAAATAAATCTGATTGTATCACCAAACGAACCACAAAAGGGATAAAACTACTAAAAGACTATCGACAAATCGCAAATCAGAGTTAAGCGACGTGAGAAAACTATACACGAGCACAAAACACGTATCCAAATTAATCCGAGGGTCCAAAACAGGGAAGATCAACAGGATAACAAATAAGCGCCATCTTGATCAGTCGTGGTGATGTTAAATCCAACAATGTGAAAAAAAGATAAACGAAAAAACAAAACAAAAAATTGTAAACTACCAAAAGACAGAAAAATGTGTCATAAAGACAGAGATAAACGTGTAGTAAAAGAAGTGAATATGTCACAACGACATAATTATTCTTATTAAGATAAAAAAAATAACAGGCGGACGACAACCAACATCAAAATCGGTACCACTACCGGTTAAACAAAATTTTAGAAGAAAAAATTAAATTAATAAATAAGATTGACACTAGTTATATAAATAAAATTATATCCAAATTTAAATCATAATAATATCGATAAAACTCATAAAATAATTTGAAATTTTGCATTTTTGTAATGTGTATAGGCTAATATCCATTTTCACGGTGGATAAAGGAATAAACAATTTCAGGTTAAAAATACAGTGGTGGACGTAAAATTTCCTGTAAAAGAAAACTATACGCTTTGTTTACTGTATATAGCAAACTCCCCTTTATTTCGGTCACCATTTTTTCTTACAACCTCTAGAATCGAGATTTTCCCTCCATGGAAACACTAACTTTCCTGCTCGTTTCCCAGATACCAAACACCCCTTCAAAGCTCAACCTCCATCGGCCACACCGTTCTCTTGTTCTTTGCTCAAGATCAACATCAGCTGGTTTTGCTTTCAATCTCAACTCGTAACCCTTTTTCAAGGGTTACAGAGAGATTGAATAATCGATCCGATCTGAATGCGAGATTAAAGGAAACAACGATGTCGTTCCATTTCCCCATTACCAGAGACCAGTCATCTCGGAGTTCCGCCGTGTATGCCGAGAGAATAACCGAGGAACCGCTGCCGCAGACCAACAATAAGAACTCGCAGACCACCGTGACGGTGATGTACCAGACGAATATGGCCGGCTACTGGCGGAACGTGACCATCATATGGTGCAAGAACGTCATGAATTATTCTCTCAACATCATGGTGAACAACGCCGAGGGCGACAACGTTCATTCCACCTGCAAGATCGAGCTCAAACCGTGGCATTTCTGGAGCAGAAAAGGGTACAAATCGTTTGAAGTTGAAGGCAAACCAGTTGATGTTTATTGGGATCTCCGCTCCGCTAAATTCACAAGCGGACCCGAACCGGTTTCCGATTACTACGTCGCCTTAGTCTCCGACGAAGAAGTCGTTTTATTACTCGGAGATTACCGGAAAAAGGCCTACAAAAGAACTAAATCCAGACCGGCTCTGGTGGAACCGGTTCTGTTCTACAAGAAGGAGAATGTATTCGCCAAGAAAAGCTTCGCAACCCGAGCCAAATTCGACGAGAAAAGGAAAGAACACGACATCGTGGTCGAGAGTTCGACGACCGGTTTAAAAGATCCCGAGATGTGGATAAGCATGGATGGGGTGGTTCTGATACACGTCAAGAATTTGCAGTGGAAATTCCGGGGGAACCAGACGGTTCTCGTCGACAAACAGCCGATTCAAGTGATGTGGGACGTTCATGATTGGTTCTTCAGCAGTCCAGGGACCGGGCACGGCTTGTTCATATTCAAACCCATATCGACGGAGTTAACGGATTGTAGTGATAAAGAAGGGAGTAGCCACGGCGGTGACAGTGATACCAGTACCGGAACCTTGTATTATTCGACGTCGAGAAGTAGCCTTTCGTTGACGTCGTCGGAGTTCAGCTTGTTTCTTTATGCATGGAAGATTGAATGAACTTTTTTTTGGTCGTAATTTAATCGTGTAATTTGCAGGGAAAAAAACAAGTGTTTTTAAACGCAATTTCCAATGTGCATAATATATATATACACGCACACGTATACATTTATATTGGACTCGTTTTCGGTAAATTACTTATTTAGTCACTAAATTATGATGTCGATTTTATTACGGTTATTACACAAAAAGTATTTGTCCGCTAATAATATTCATTATAATATTAATCAAGTCATTCATCGTTAGATTTTCGTTAGTGATTTATTAATTAGAGATGACAAAATAATTGGACGCTACGAGTTTTAACTTGGATTAACTCTATAAAAATTAGTTTTATTTTTTAAAATTCGAGTTGGAGACAAAGTTTAAGAAAAATAGAATCACGATAAAATGGATTCATATTTAGGATAAAAATTCTTCGACCCAAATTATGTGCATATATATATACATATACCCTTATATCGCAGACTCTATCGGTAAACTACTTATTTAATCGCTCATAATTATGAGCTCGGTTTTTATGGTTACAAAAAAAATATTTGTCAATTAGGTTATTAAGGGTTTTATTTTAGTATTAATCAAGTTATTGACTGTTAAATTTTTGTCAATCACTTATTAAGAATGATAAAATAACTTAAACATGACGAGTTTTGACCCAACTCAATCTATAAGAATGAGTTTTATTTTTCAAATTTCGAGTTAAAAATAGGTTTTAAGAAATATAAAATCAAGGCTGAACAAATTCAGATTTAGGATAAAAATTATTTTACTGAAATTGTGATATTTTTAATTATATATATTATTATATTTACAGAAATACTATTTTGTATACAGTGTATAATTATTTTCTTCTTTTTTTTACTATTTTTTTAAAATATGATTTTTGATCCATCTTTTCAATATTATTTTCTGATTATTATATTTTTTAAATTCACTGAATTTCTTATTTCATTGATTTTTATTCCACAATTGTTACACATACTGATTTTATGAGAAATAATCTCATCAATTATTATATATAATGTGTTCTGTTTCTTTTTAATTATATATTTTATAGGTCTTTTTTTTTAATGTTTTAATGTTTTATAGTTTTGTTTTATAGATTAAAAAGCAAAAATAAAATTTCATCGAATTAAAATTGAATATATCTCTCAAATCTGATCAAAATCAATTCAGGGCGAATAGAATAATTCTTTTAAAATAAATTAGGGTTTGATGAAATATGTGATATTTTAGATTAAGTTCGAGAAGATCAAACCACCTAATTAGAGGTTTAAATGAACCGAGCTTGAAACGAGTAAGATTGTATTCGTGTTTGTTTGTTTGTTTTTGAAAGTGTTCATGTTCGGTTCGTGTTTTTTTATTTATTTTTGAAGGTGTTCATGTTCGTTTATTTAACGTTATCGAACGCGTTCGTTTAATGTTCGTGAACATGTTCTTTTAAATGTTTGCGAACATGTTCTTTTAAATGTTTGCGAACATGTTCGTTTATATGTAAATTTAACGTTCATTTATTATTCACGAACATATTCATTTAACATTCTTTTATCTTTCGCCAATATGTTTGTTTAGAATAAAAGGGAAAAGAGAGCGACGAGAAATGTTATTTTTTTAGTTATAAATTATAATAGGGAAAATGATAAAATTATACAACTAGTGCTTAAGCTTCTTAAGATCCGTAGTTTAAACTCCAAATTTCATCATATATTCAATTTAGTATGTACCTCCACTAATATTCAAAATATAAAAAATAAACGAGCCTCTAAACGAACTTATAAATGAGCTTCTAAACGAGCTTGTTTGTGAACATAAACGAATTGAACACACATATATTTGTGTTCATTCGTTTATTAAATAAACATAAAAATTTTGTTTATATTCATTTAATTAGTTTAATAAAAGATTATTATACGAACAATTCATTAAACGCTTTATACATTTACACCTCTACACCTCGTTATCATTCCTATTACATACTCTTTTAATTGAGATAACGCCAATTTTAATTTTTCATATTTATATATTTAATTAATTTACCTATACAACTTTTCAATATGAAAAGTTGCGACTCTACTATTTTTTGTGCGGCAAATTGGAGTGTGGTGAGAAGTTCTGTCCCCAGAGGGTTCTACAAGAGAAAAGGGAATTAGCTCCACAATGGGATGCATCTCTTAAAGCTCCACTTAGAAGGAATGGAATTTTGTCAAGTCCGTGGCTGCGTGATGATAATTCAAATTTGGGCGCTGGAAGTGTAGAAGAAAAAGGGGATAATCAGGGGAGACAAATTACGGTGGTCAAGGGTGGCACAAAACAATAGCTATAGAGTACTTTTAAGGAGAATATTCGGGATAATCCTGGAGGGGTCAACGGTGATGTTGTTATGACGGGTGTAGAAGAATATGATCCCCTGGCTAAAATAGAATCTACAAAGCGGCAGCGAAGTGTTCAAGAAGGATTGGGTATGGAAGGAAGAATTCAAGAGATACCGGCTGGCCTATTATCCCGGCCAGCCGTAAGCAATGAAACTCTTAAGTTGGAATGTCTGGGATTTGGGGCAACCTCGGGCAGTTCGTCGTCTCCATCACTTGATGAGAGATGCTAACCCCTCTGTAGCTTTTTTGATCGAAACGAAACAATAGGGTTCTCGTATGGCTAGAGTTAGACGTTCGTGTGGCTTCTTAAATGGTATTGAGGTGGATCCTATAGGGACTTGTGGTGGTCTCTGTTTAGCTTGGAAGCAAGAGTGTGATGTGGTTCTTCGTTCGTTCTCTGCTTCTCATATTGACATTTTGATTTCAAATGATGTTGATGGTATGCGTTGGAGATGTACGGGGTTTCTATGGCGCTTCGGAGGAGGGTAGGCGTCATGAATTTTGGAATCTATTGAGAAGATTAAATGATGAGTCCATGACTCCATGGCTAATTATTAACGATTCAATGAACTCATGTATTCTTTTGAGAAAAGTGGGGGTCGTGTTAGACCAAGAAGACAGATGGCAGTGTTTTGTGAGGCGGTTGAGGATTGTGGCCTTGCTGACATTGGTTTCTCGGGACAGTGGTACACTTGGGAAAGGGGAAATCGAGCTGATACTAATATTCGCGAAAGGTTGGATAGAGGTTTGGCTAGCTCTAGTTGGTTTCATTTATTTCTTGAATTTAATTTAAGACATCTGGTGAATTCGGCTTTTGATCATTGCCCTTTGATCCTTAACACAATAGTGAGTGCGCGGCCAGTTCGAAGATGGCATTTTCATTTTTAAGCTCCTTGGCTTCTGGAAGAATTGTGTGAAGAGGAAGTGGTCAGGCTTTGGGGTGAAGCGATTAGTACAGTGCCAAAAAAGCTTGGTTTCGTCTCGAACGGGTTGGATTGTTGGTTTAAACAGTTATGTCATGATAAACGTTTAACGGGTATGGATATGGAGAAGCGACTGGCTGAATTGATGGATATGGTACAAATAGATGGTTTTGGGTGAAATGATCGACACAAAATTGGCTTTCAATTTAGAGGCAGACAAAAAAGAGCTCTATTGGGAACGACGTGCACGTGCTAATTGGCCCAAAAATGGAGACAATAACACGGCCACCGTTTTGCCACTCAAAGGAAGCGTCAAAATAAAATTTACGTGCTTGTTTATGAGGATGGCAGTAACGTTGAAGAGGAACTGAGTTTGGAACGGTTTGCTAGAGAATATTCTCAGTCCCTGTTTTCTTCATCGGGTTCGTCGATTGAGGAGAAAATTTTGCAAGGAGTTTTTCGGTGTATTATAGGCCAATAATTTTCTTTTGAAGGAGTTTACGTATGAAGATGTTACCAGTGCGGTGAAGTCCATGGGACCTTTGAAGGCAGCGGGGGATGGTTTGGGAGCGGTCTTTTATCAACGTTTTTGGGGATTAATTGACTTTGAAGTTTTGAATTTTTGTATTGGCGTCATAGAAGGGAATTTTGATTCAAGGTTGATCAATCATACTCACATAGTTCTCATTCCAAAGATTGATACTCCTTCTCGGATGACTCACTTTAGATAGACTAGTCTTTGTAATGTTCTGTATAAGATCATTTCAAAGATCATTGTTTACTGTATGCAACATTTTCTTGATAGATGCATTGACGAGGCTCAGAGTGCTTTTGTCCCTGGGAAGTTGATATCGGACAATATTTTATGTGCTTATGAGGTGTTTCATCCTTTCCCACAAAGATGAGTGGGGTGGAAAGGTTATTTTGCTCTCAAGCTTGACATGAGTAAGGCGTATGATAGAGTTGAATGACTTTTTTTGTGGGCGGTAATAGAGCGTATGGGGTTTTTTGAGGCTTGGATTTCGATTATCAAGGCTTACGTTGGCTCGGTGTCGAATTCGGTCACTATCAATGGAGTTACTAGAGAAAGTTTTGACCCTCAATGGGTTTACGACAGGGAGATCTTCTAAGCTTGTATTTATTTCTTATAATATCAAATTTGATTTTTCTCATCAATATTCACAATTCATTAGATAAATATCAAGTTTGATTTTCTCATTCGGTTTTGGAGAGATTGTTTACTCACCGTCACCTACATCATCAACAAATTATCTTCTCTTGTTTTGGATAACAAGTCTCCCTACAAAGTATTGTCTACTCATGTTTCGGATTATAAACATCTTATGGTGTTTGGATGTTTTTGTTTTGTCTCAACACTTCGAACTCATATAGATAAATTTCCAAAAAGAGCATTGTTTGATATATTTCTTGATTACATTGTTGGGATGAATGGTACAAAGTTTATGTTATCAAGATTAAGTGCATTGTGGTGTCTCGAGACCTTGTGTTTCATGAAATTATCTTTCTATTTCATGCTATTTCTCCCTTCTGTTATTTATCGATTTTCTGATTTTTCTATTTTTCTTTATCTACAATATTTTTTTGGATAATTAAGATATTATTTACCCACAATATTGACTGATACTTTAGGTTCACATATTGATCAGATCGCCCCTAATGCTTTCCATGTATCTCCGGTACAACATACAAGTGAAGTAGAATCTTCCTCCAATACATGTTTATATCAAGTCCCTATTTTTCAATCAAAGATAATAGTATAGTTGATTTTTATATATTTAAAAATAATCATTAAAATATCTCTTTTTCTATATTTTTCAATTAATTTTCTATTTTATATCTTTCAAATTATTATATATATATTTATATCAAGTCGAATCAAGTGCAAGTATATGTTTTAACCTATAAATTGGGTCAGATTTCAGATTAAATAAGATTTGTCTAAGTTCCAATCCGGTGAAGGGTGAAAGATATTATACTTAAATTAAATTCGACCCATTATTATCTATTGAGTGTACCTAGAGTTTCAAAATTCAATGACCAAATGAAGCAAAATTTTAAATATAAGGACTAAAAATACTTTATCCAAAAATCAGAATTAAAAGCATTTTAATCATGGAGGGAACAAGTAAAAAGGAGGACCTGACTTCCCCTTTTACGATTGAAGAGGACAAGGACCCACTTTTCGTTTTCCAATTTTGCCCTTTATGTTTATTACAATTTTTTTAATTAGAAATTTTTTTTCCACAATTTTTTTTAATAATTTTTATCATCTCTGCACTTTTTATCAGCTTATGTAATCACATTTTCTGTACACGCCCACCGATTTCCATCTCTTACACTTTCACAAACTCAAAATACAGAAAAATAAAATTAAAAAAAAATCAGAGAAGAGAGATTCTGGAAATCACTTTGTTCCAGGGTTTCTCGTTGGAATTTTATGTTTTTTTTCCTATAAATTTTCCATTTCGATATCACTGTTAGTTACCGATCTTGTCATCATCTTCTTTGTTTTTTTCTCGGTAAATTTCTAACTCTCTTTTATATTAGTTCTTAGCCTGATTTCCCATTATGTGTTTTCTTTTTTGTCTTCACTTGATTTCGATTTTATTTCTGGGTTTTAGATTTATTTTTTTTTTGTTACTATTTCCGGGTCTATTGGTTTGCATAAGATCCTCTGGTTTGTTTTGCTTAATCTGTTGCGTGTGTTTGTAATTCTGTTTTGATTATGGGGTTTGTTATGTGGATTAAGGTTCTATATTCCATTTGATTTATGATTAAAATTTTACTCTTTTTTTTCCTGGATATGTATTTTATTCTGGTATTTTTTTACATTCCTTAAAATGTAATTGAATTTTCTTTTAGTTCTGTTTTATGAATGCTTTCTCCCTTGGTTTTTTGCTTATTAGGTAATGAAAATGATATTATTTGCTCTTTTTTTTCTCGATTGTTGTAGTCGCCGTGGATGATTCTCTAAAATTTGATGTTTGCACGTTTCTCAATCAATAATAATTTTGTGTTTCTTTGCTTCTGAGTGCTTGGAACTGTTTACTTTTTTGGCTGAGATATATAAAATTGAAATCTTCACTCTTAATCAGTACTGATTCATGTGACCGCTTGTCATCTAGAATTCGACCTTGTTGTTGTGTCATTAATTTATGGGCAAATTTGAAGTGAATGAAGCTATCCATATATAAGTTTGCAATTGATACTGCTATTTTCCTGTTCGTTAGTTTGCTTTTAGATAAAAGTGAACTGAATTCCGTCGTAACAGCGACCTTCCTTTTCCTTTTATGTGACAGCTTGACAGGTATTGAAGTGCACGAAGAGATAGCAGAGTCTGGGATCGTTAGAAAAGCTCCTTGCCCATGATTTATATATGGTCTACTTATAGTCCGTAAACTCTTGGATAGAAGTTTTAGGTTTTGCTGTGCAGTGCCCTGCTTGCAGACATGGGTTACAACTGTGATTTCTGTGGGCATCAAAGGCCAGTGGTATATTGCCGGTCTGATGTTGCCTGTTTATGCTTATCATGTGATCGAAATGTCCATTCTGCTAATGCACTGTCAAGACGCCATTCGAGAACATTGTTATGTGAGAGATGCAATTCGCAGCCTGCTTTTGTTAGATGTGTGGAGGAAAGGGTTTCCCTATGTGAGAACTGTGATTGGATTGGTCATGGTAGCTCTACCTGGAATTCGACACATAAGAGGCAAACAATTAATAGTTACTATGGTTGTCCATCATCGGCCGAACTTTCTTCCTTATGGCCGTTTTTTTGGCAGTCCCCTTCACCGGGTGAATCTACTTCTGAGCTGGAATTAGGTCTAATGAGCATCCCTGAGAATATGGAGAGGACCTCCTGGGGTCCTTCAGGAAACGCCATTAGCCAGAATCAGGATAATACTGGTGGTGCAGAAGTTAATAACGACAATAATGCAGATATGGGAAGTGGCTGGGATGGGTCTTCTTCAGTTCTGGAAATAAGATCTCCTCAACAAGATCTAGATCAGCCAGGTGGATTAACTGATACATCATTGCCCAAGGTAAATTATGAATTTGAATATTTATCATTAAAAAATCTTGATCAACCGTTATTAAGATGCTTTCAGCTCCTTGCTATACGAGTTTCATGAGGCAGTGTTAAAGAAATAGGATAAGCATTTTGAGAAAAAAGGGACTATATTTGTAAATTTATTCTGCAGGGACAAGCCTTAAAAAAATATTCTGCAGGGAAAGTTTATACCAATTTTGTTCCTTGCTTTCTTGATTGTGTTTTATAGTGGAAATCGAAGTTTCATGTAAAAATTTTCTAAGAGCAAGTTATGTTTTAGGGTGATCTTGCAGAGAACTGTTAGTGAGGCCTTCAGAATATGATGACAATATCAATAATATCATTCTTTAAGATTTTTCATGTATGTATGTGTGTGTGTAACAGAACGGGGAAAAAGCAGTTTGAACGTGATTGACACAGGAAACAGGGAAATTGATATCAGAAGTTATCAAAATTTCATTTTAATCATTAACATAGTGATTGGAATAATATAACTCCATTTTGGGAAAATTTGATAATTTTTGCTTTATTAAATTTGCAGTTACCTTGCCCTCAAACAAATCATCCTTCACTTTGTGAAAATGATCTCTACCATGACTTCAACATAGATGATGTTGACTTGAACCTTGAAAATTATGAAGAACTCCTTGGAGTAACTCTCAATCACTCTGAAGAACTGTTTGAGAATGGTGGAAGTGATAGCGTATTCAAGATAAAAGACATATCTGCTGCTGATTCCAACTGTCGGGGTGCTGTTTCTGCTGAGGTTCTCTCTCTTCTCTTTTGAACTTTCTTTGTGGTGTTTGAGTTGTCTTTTTCTGATGACAGTGTTGTCATTTTTGTAGATATTTTTTCCCTGTATTGTTAGATGGTATGTATGACATATCAATTTTCCTTTTTCCCCGTCGTTTGGGAAATGGGAGTATTCCTTGCCAAATTAATATGGAGAAAAGTTTTTTAACACTGTACCGAGAAGCTTTAATTTGGTGTATTATAGCACCAATAACGTTGCTTTCCTGATATGTACCAAGACGAAGTTTAGCATCCTACTTTAGCATCTTCCTTTTGGAGGTTGCATAGTGATAAAAGGCATGCCCCTTTTCACTAGGGACAGTACTATCTACATGAAAACAATATTGTCAGAAACGACCAATGTAACGAAAAGAAGTTCACTGTCCTATCTGCTGAGTATTCATTTCGTATTGTGATTACTCTTTTGACAGAGTTGATTATATATAGCCACTATTGGTGATGAGAAAATGGATTCCTCAAATTTGCAAATAGATTACTGCTTGATCTTTTAGAGTCATCTTGATCACCAATTAATGTGCTTGGATACGACGTGCTTGTCTTATCTTCTTTGGGAATCACACATTACATAATTCCAGCCCCGTACAGTTTCAAGTTCGTGGCAAATGTTCTCATGGTCAGTTACTAAATATTTCTTGTCCAGGGCTCATCTATTGGTCTGGTCAACACAGTCCAGCCAACATGCAGCAATGGGGCATCTGCTGATTCTGTGATGAGCAATAAAACCGATTCTATTCTTTGTTTCACCGGAAGGCAGGCTCATTCAAGCCTATCATTTTCGGGCCTTACTGGAGAGAGTAGTGGAGGAGATTACCAAGATTGTGGGGCTTCATCAATGCTTCTCATGGGAGAGCCTCCATGGTGTCCTCCATGTACTGAGAGTTCCTTCCAATCATCTACTCGAAGCAACGCTGTAATGCGTTACAAGGAAAAGAAGAAGACACGGAAGTAAGTATACGTCAATAAGACACAAGAAAATGTGTTGCCTTATATGTTTATTATGTTGATGACATCACAAATGTCTGGAACTTAGAGGCCTTCCTTTTAGTTCCTCCCTGCTTCTAAATTTCTAGTTCCAGGGAAAGGATGTTGATTTACTACAAACTAAGCACATAACAATGACTTGATTATTGTTTACTACACTTTCTAGCTTTTCTTCATTTGGACCTTTTTTATAATTGCCTTCAAATATCAATATAGTCGTTTGCATTTTTATACAAGTACGATGAGCAGAACTCTGACACGACGTTTCCAAATAATTTGATATCATCTTAACATGTGTTGTTAGTAGTATAATCGTTTCTCGGTATAGTAATCTGTAACCAGTTCATTTTACTTACTATTCTGCCATTGAAGGAGGTTATATATTTAACCATTGACCTTATTGCGATAGGTTTGAGAAGCGAGTGAGATATGCATCTCGCAAAGCAAGGGCGGATGTTAGAAAGCGTGTGAAGGGACGCTTTGTGAAAGTCGGTGACGCCTACGATTACGATCCGTTGAACTAAACCCGAGGCTGCCGGTACGGTTCTTTTAACCTTGCTTTGTTAGTTGGAATGAATTGGTTTATTTCAAACTAATTAAACTGACAGGTTTTTTGGTTGTATTACAGTGCTCCAGGTTTCTTTTATCAACACACACTGTGAATAAATAATACCAAGGCCTGGTTCTTTATCACCATAAAAAACATCGAACGGATCGCTAGATCAGTCGGCAAGATCTGCCTGCTCATTTCTTCTTTAGTATGGAAAGGACGGATGCTGACTATAATCCTCCTAGCCATATTTAAGCTCGGTGTCGGTTATTGTCGACCAATTATCTACCTTCGGCTGGTTCCCAGCGCTTTTATAAAAGCTGCCGCCGCCGCCATCGGCTAAAGCATGCAGCTATAATTTTGATCTTGTTTGTTTTTTGCTCCTTCTATTTAAATGTATAGCAAAGATTTTGGTCTGTATGCGCAGTTGAGAGAGTTTTAATGGTTGCCTGCACATTGTCCATTGCCCAAAGTAATAGTTGCACCTGTAATTTCCCTCTCTCTTTCCTGCTGGAAGTCTACTGCAAAACATATCATCTTTATCTTTTGGGAGTCTCTAAAATATTATTTGTTAATATAAAGCCTTTTATATCGTTCAACTGAAAATATTACTTAAAAGCATAACTTTTTAAGTCGGATGGGATAATTTTTTTATTAAAATTGAAAATATTATATTTTTCGTAGTATTTTCGATGTAATTGAAATTATTTTAGAATATATAATTTTTACAATTTTAAACTTTTAATCTGTCATAATGTAATTTTTGGGGACTATTTTTGACGAGTTTAATGAAATTCACCAATAGTTTGTTATTGTTTATTTTTAATTTCATTTTATAAATTATAATTTAAATAAAACATCCTCCTCTATGCAACCATACAAGATTTTCATCAAACTCAAAAAGTTACATATTAAAGCCAAAATTAGGGGTTAAAGCGTATATCAAAACCAAAACCAAAACCAAAGGTCAAATTGTATTAAAAAATAGGAGACCAAAGTTATATTAAAGTCAGAGGTTAAGTTGGGGGAAAAAAAGATAAAGTCAAATCGAAGATCAAAGTCAAATTCAAAGACTGAAAGGTGCATTAATCTTATATAATGTAAATATATTTCAATTACATATGTTTAAACATAAAAATAAAATTCAAAAATATAATTAAATTGTACTAAAATAGTTTAAATTTTATATGTACCAAGAAATAGTTTTAATTTTATTATAAAATAGATGATACATTATTAATACAAGATGATGTGGCACATAAAAATTAATAGATTATCTCTTAATTATAATCAAAATTTTATTCTAATATTTTTAAATGACAATTTAAAAGTTTACAAATTTATAAAAAACATATAATTTAATTTAAAATTTCATAGTAATATTTTTTAAAAATTATAATTTTGTTCTTCTTTTAAGTGGTAAGTCTAAGTTTAAAACATATTTATAAATAGTCTTTATTTTCCTTCTGATTTTCTATTTGTTGTTGGCCTCTATTTTCTATTTCATAACCCTACCTAAACTCCAGCTTAGAGAACCCAAGTTAAATCATCATCAACTTAGTGCCTCCTCAAGTTGGATATTAGTTGAGTTGCAAACATTTGTTTAAGTTTCGTTTTCCCTTTTCGTTGTAGTTGAAGACTTCTAATCGTGTTTTCATCTTTAGTTAGAATCACTTTCAAGTTTGTGTAGACACTCGTTTTTGTCTTAATTTTAAAAAAATTATTTATTTATTTATGATTATGATTATGATTATTATTTTTATTATTAATCTTTTTATTAATTTTTTTTCCTTTTTTCATGTCCCATGTTCAACCCCACTATCTCCATTATTCCAACAAACTATCCACTCAACCCAACATCTTCCGTTTCTTCTTATATATATTATTCTCTCTAATTCAAACCAAATCCCATTTCTTCTTCCTATATATATATTATTTATAAAATGCCATGGGGGCTACGTGGATAAGGGCTTTTATTCTCTCTTTGATTGTAAAAAAAACCTCTGCGCTTTGAATGTTTTAAAAGATTCTTCTGATCCAAAAAGGGGACCACGAATCATTGGGGGGACTTCGGCTTCTCTTTTTGATGAGGAGGATTGGCTCTCATCTCCGATAACAAAGATCTCATCTTTAATGTTCATCAAGTTTTAATGGTCCTTGGACTAGTGCTCTTGAATGGAGAAGCCATGGTGGCATACAAGACTGTTCAGGGGACGAACAGCTTTAAACAATTAGTTCATCTTACCATACAATGCATTGCTGTTATCTTGAGTCTTGTCGGTGTATGGACTGCTTTGAAGTTCCACAATGACAAGGGCATCGACAACTTCTACAGTCTGCACTCGTGGGCTGCCTTGTTGCCATGGCATGTTTTCTTCGGGATTGCCGCACAAGCTGGTCAAAGTTATGGTCGGAGAGCGGCTTATGAGCGTAGCGATCGTGGATGGAGGGGGGAGGCAGTGCAGGAAGCTTATAAACTTTCCCTTTGGTTTCTTTCGTCTAAGCGGTGAGAATTGTTCTCTCTGTTCCTCCATTTTTCTTGTTCTTACTTTTTAAAATTTTTGTTTATAGCTACTGTTTTGATGCTGATATTCTGTAGGTCGGATTGAATTATTTTAGTGCGATATGAAGTTGTGAACCATAACGATTTTTTTCCTTGAAAATTATTTTTCATTTTGATCAATCTTCTTTTACTTTATACTCGGCTCGTTAGAGGTGCACTTAGTTCTTTGCTTGATAATCAAGCTGATTGGGGAGCTCGTATAAGGTTAACATGGAAACGACTTTCAATGTGGCTGTGCTGCTATAACGATTGAAGTAAGCAGTTGGTGCAGGTATTCGAAGCTTCATGATATATACATGGTTGTAATAGCGTGAGGCATCGGTTTGCTTCTCTTTTAGTTCTCTGGAAAGTAACGTTGATGATGAGCATTGTTTTTTACAACAAGAACATAGAAATTTAAGCTCTTGTTTTGTTTCTGAAATTTGAAAAGATTAACTTGGAAGGGTACACAGTCCTATGCTGCCGGAGTTCCAAAGAACCAAGTATATGTTCAATGGTTCATTTCTTGACATGGATCCGTAAACCGATTAAATATTCAAGCAGCTCTTTGTGCCTGGTGAAGAGAAAAGGATAGCAAGTTTCTATCTCCAGCAAAGCATTGCAAATCAGAGCATCCCTTCCCTGTTCGTGATGGAAAAGACCAAGCCCTTTATCAAAGTGCAATTGTTAGCACTGATAGCCAGCAGATTCTAAATTATTTGTGGATGTGATTTTGATCATTCAATTTCCAAGGAATCCAATTAAATTTTAAACCAACCAAAGGTAAGTAATTCGAATCGGTTTTAAAAATTTTAATTTAAATTTTTAATTTTCGCAAATAAAGACAAATGACAAATTAATTGGTACTGAAAGGATGGTTCAAGGGTGCTAATTATTCTTTGACCGTAACCGACTCCCGAATTTAACACGTTTCTGGTACAACGCAGATCAAGTAAGATGGTGTCTGATCAATCTAAATATTTTTTAAAATGATCGGTGGCAACTCCAACCCAATTATTCACGTCGAAGCCCAATTCCGGGCCCAATTGAAAGACGATTTCGACAATTTGGATGTAACAATTAGGCAATTAGTAACTATACGCTAGGTTTTCGAGCGTCTAGAGAGCTTGTTGTGCTTTTAAGTTTATATATTTTCTTGGCATGCAAAACTCAAGTCGTAGGCTAACTTTCACAAGTAGCCAATGCATCACAGATAATCCAACTACTCTGATTAAGTTTCTAGTACTAGCATATCACATGCGATTGAACCGCGTTTTAGCGTAGACGGCTAGACGGCTTGTAGTGTTCATAGATTTGGATTGCTTTTAATTGCTACATATGATGGGGGTATGATATAACATCGGTGCATCTGCAGAGATAAGAACTTGTATGATGTGCTCTGGCATAAGGTCGTGGATATGTAAATGTTTGTTGAGAAGCATTTTTACAGCAACCCATTTAAAATCACTGTATGGATCGTGATGGAATTGAAAGGATTGTAAATATATTTTGAAGTAGTTTTAAAACAATAAATTGTAAAGCACTGTATAGCTCAACCAAGATTGCTTGTGTGAATTGTATGCTCAACTGTTTCGGATTACATAATAACATATCCAATTGTATGCTCATCTGTGTATATATATATATACTATTTTTGAATTGTTCTCGAGTTTTTTGAATAGAAAGAAACTCAAAAATTAAGAATTTGAATCGAGTTTAAGTGTTCAAGTATGAGTCGAGTTTATTCAAATCGAATATTAAATAAATTTTAATCGAGTCCTAATGTCTATAAAAAACTGAATGGAAGAGTGTTTTGGAAAAAGCTGGCAATGGATTTATGCACAAGTGAGCTTAAAAATACATCAAATGATATTTGCTTCATTAAATAACGTCAACGGCAGCTTTAAAATAATATGGAAATACAATCTGTTAACCATCTACCTAGACCTGACCACAGCTCAACAACTCACGACGGCGGGTGCGGGGGCACCACCTTTACCCGGTCATTTGATGATGGAAGCCACCAGAACCATACGGGTGTCCTTGATGATGCCCCATCATCATCATCCCTCCACCAACACCACCCGGACCCACTCCGCCGCCGCCACCACCAGAAATCCCTCCGTAATCAGCGCCGCTGCCTCCACTTGCCCCACCGGCTGAACCCCCATTGGCTCCGTCGTTATCTCCCCTTCCCGTAGAGCTCCTCTCACCTTCCATCTCCCTGTACTTCTGCAAATAAATCTTCAAGGGCTCCACGTACTCTTCGAAACCGAGCGTCGTCATGGCCCAGAGCAAATCGTCGCCGTTTATCGTCTTCCTCTTCTCACGCTGACACTTGTCGGAGGCTTCGCCGGTGACGAAACTGATGAACTCGGAGACGCATTCCTGGACCGTCTCTTTGGCGTCTTTGGAGATCTTAGCGTTTGCCGGTAAAGCCTTCTTCATGATCCTGCTCACATTCGCAATGGGTAAAAACCTTTCCTGTTCACGCGCCGTCGTTTCCCTCGGCTCGTTACCTTCGCCGGTGTTATGTCCGCCCGATTCATTGTCCGAGTCCGCCATCAAAAGAAACAAATCCAAGGTGATGTGGATCGATAGGTAATAATGGATTTGGAGATGAAACGTGGACGAATGTGAACTGTTCGTTCATAGATAAGGCTGGACTGGAAGAGTTCAATCTGAACCGTTGGATTTCTGGGATCCCTAAATCTAAACGGTTTAGAAGCAAAACACGCATTGGTCAGAATCCTCCATTGCTTGATAAATGTTTGGGTAAACTACACCGTGATCCTTAATTTTCAACTTTGATCACAGTTTGATCCATATTAGCCCAATACTAATATAATCCTCAATTAATAATCATATTCAGAAATTAAAAATTCACTATTCTCATATTTAACACCTTTTGGTGAAAGTACTTCTTTACCCCTAATACCTTGAAATCTTCACAATAGGATCCAAATTACTAAATCTTAGACTCTTCTTATCTCAAACAATTGGCATACTTCTTTTAACCCATTAATAATATTAAAACAAATAATGGGCTCAATATCCAATATTAAAATATTAACATCCATATAAATGTACTGTAGTTTACCCTTTAACCTTCAAGGCGTACAAAATTGGTTTACTGGGTTGGGATCACTATTCATAGAGTAAACATGGATTAAAACCTTCCCAAAATAGGTTTTTGGTCTTAAAAGAATTGAGATAGATAATATGTTATACCATTACGTAATATGGAACAATTTTATTGGAATTGTATTACTTGTTTTATTTGTTATCAGGTCTTTATTCTCAATAATTATGCTCTCTTTTTAAAAACGAAGAAACTGTTTTCTTTCGCTTTAAACAACTTGTGAAGAATTAAAAAGACAAATGGCAAAGATCAAGCAGCAATTAAACAGGAAACTTAGTATAAAGAAGCTTAAATTTATATCATTATGTATCCCAAGTCGTGCTAGATGATGGTTCAAAGGAGTTGTTTTTATTTGCAGATTAATCAAGATTTTCGTTATGGGAACATCATCTGGTTCTAATATTAACCATCAGCATTCATCCAAGATGTTGCCCCCACGTCAACAACCTCGGTCAGGGAGCTTACAAACTTCGTTGTCCTTAGATGCCCATGAACACAGATCAAACTCTGATAATATTCACGAGTTTCCTACTGAGAGTGCTAGCTCACGAGAAACTTGGCCTGCTGCTGATGCTATCACAGCAAAGGAGATTGAAAATGTTTGCCTTGAGCAGTCTGTGATTTGTCGTGTTTCTAGCGCTGACAAGATAACACTACGAGACATTGCAAGAGAAAGAGTTGATGTTATGTCGGAAAAGATGCAATACCTACCTGATGAGTGTATGGATGAGTTAAAGAATCAACTCAAGGCTATCCTAGAAGGCAATGGTGGTTCGCAGAACAGGGAAGAGTTTTTGATTCTTCAGAAGCATGTTCAAAGTAGATCTGATTTAACAGAAAAGACATTGATCAGAGCACACCGGTCGCAACTTGAGATCCTTGTTGCAATAAATATGGGAATTCAGGCATTCTTGCATCCCAGTGTCCGTCTATCCCAAACTTCTCTTATTGAGGTATTTGTGTACAAGAGATGCAGAAATATAGCATGTCAAGACCAGCTACCCGCAGATGACAGCACCTGTGAAATATGTACCAATAGGAATGGTTTTTGCAATCTTTGTATGTGTGTTATCTGCAATAAGTTTGATTTTGAAGTAAATACCTGATGGATTGGCTGTGATTTGTGTTGCCATTGGACTCATACTGATTGTGCTATTCGTGATGGGAAAATTTGTACGGGTCCTTCAGTTAAAAGTGCAACAGGTTCTGCTGAAATGCTCTTCAGGCGTCGTGCTTGCAATTGACCGTCTGAGCTGTTAGGTTGGGTTAAAGATGTTTTCTGCCATTGTGCTCCTGCCTGGGACAAGGAGGCTCTAGTGAGAGAACTGACTTTATTAGCAGGATATTTCGTGGAAGTGATGATCCTAGAGGGAAAAAGCTCTTTTGGAAGTGTGAGGATCTTTTAGAAAAAATGAAGGGTGGATTTGCAGAGTCGGCAGCTTGCAGCTCGATATTAGTATTTTTCCAAGGTACAATATGTTCCTAGTTATTTAATCATCTCGCTAAATATCATGTGATTTTTTTCTTGTTATCTGGAAATTAACCAGGTCCAACTCCTAAACCAGTTCAGCAAAGAAAGGTTTTTCAGATATTCATTTTTCGTTCTCAAGTCTAAAAGTTTTGTTCTCTAAATCAAGAAACTTTTTTTGCGTGAAGGTTTTACATTTTGTTAAATCATGGTACTCCTTTATGTAGAACTTGGCATGGATTCTCGAACGAGCCTGGAATATGTGGAAGGTGGGAGGTTGATAACACCACAAGAGGCTTGTAATCGAATTGCTGATGTAGTGCAAGAGGCCATAAGGAAGATGGAAATGGGGGCAGATGAAAAGATGAAACTGTTCAAGAAAGCTTGCTTATCTCTTGATGCTTGCGAGCGGGAGCTTGAGCTAAACAAGCAGATTACCTTAAACAACGCTTGAGCGAGGCAGAGGCAGAAAAGCAATATTTGTTTGAAAAGATAAAGCTGCAGGAGAGTTCACGTGCATTGCAGAGCAACAATGGAGGTGATCCTTCAAAGGCGTTGATGTATTCCAAAATCCATGATCTGCTCCATGGATACAATATCCATTCTAAGACAGTCCTGGCCAAATGAGCGCCACGGTTTCAGAACAAATCCCTAGGGAAGTTTGATGCGAGTTGGGAGTATGTTTATTGTGGAAAACTAGAATGTGAGATTTGGTACTCAAAATTTTCTTTAAACCTTCAATTTTCTGTATCTTAATTTGTTTTCCTGTAAAGCAATTACCAGGTGTGGTAGAGCTGGTTTCTCTGTCTGCAATTTTGAACTTTGTTGACTTGCATGCTGGGGATTATTTAGGATAAGAAATGAAGAATATAAATCCTTCAAAAGAAATGAAGAATTCGATTAGATGGACAACTTACTTAGGATAAGAAAAGAATACCAATTAAGAGGATACGTATGATGTTGACTTGTGCTTTTGTTTGAATTAATTGATTAGGACATCCACATATGACGACGTAATGTTTGATATCTTCCGTCGTTTTGATCTGATATAGTCATTAATTGTTACAGATATAATAAAATAAAAGGATATGGCTTTGTCAGTAATGTCAAGATGGCCGAGTTGGTCTACGGCGAAAGTATCATGTACCGATACAAAGGGCAATGGTTCGAATACCTTTCTTGACACAAATTTTTTTCCCATATGCTAGCTGAACTGGAAAGGGCATGGGTTCGAATCCCACTCTTGACACAATTTTTTTCCCATATGCTAGTTGAACTGGAAAGGGCATGGGTTCAAATCCCACTCAAATAAATGCCCAAACTATACATTTTGTGTTAAATAAGTGCCTACATTTTTTTCTCATCCAGCTTGCTTAACATTACAAACGTTACCTCTTTAGTGCTTGGGCCGTTAACGGCGATAGTTCTCTTCGTTAAGTGATATATGTCACAATCGGGTAATTTAAAAAAAAATTATATATTTTTTAAAAATACATAAATTTTGACATTTTGAACTTGTTGCTCATTAAAAAAATTTGTTGTTCGACTCGATTTGTTGCTCGTTAAGCTCGTTAGAATTTTGTTCGACTCGTGCTCGTTAAAAAAACTTGTTGCTTAGCTCGTTCTCGTTAAGTTTGTTGCTTGTTAAACTTGCTGAAATTTTTATCTTATTTTTAAAATTATAGGTAAAATATACTAATACTATAAATTAATAGATTAGTCATTTATCATGTTTTTAATATCTATGAGTAAATTAGAAAATTTTGAACGAAGTAATTTAAAAAAACTACTAAAAAATTATAAAAAAAAATTAATGAGTTGCTCGCGAACTTATCGAGTTGAGTTGGACTTTGCTCGACTCAGCTCGTTAAGGTCTGAGTCGAGTTCGAGTTCGAGTCAAGTCAACCAAAATCGAGCTTTTACCGAATTTTTATCGAGTTGAGTTCGAGTTCCTCACAAGCTGCTCAACTCATTAATCACCCTAATAGTGTCTGCATATTAAAGTCCTCTGTTACGTGTGCTTCTTAAATTTGTTAATTTATTGCATAATTACATTTTGATAACAAAAATTATCTTATTCACCTATCGCGCTTATTTACGCATCTTTCTTATTCATATAAAACGTTTATTGGAATGCAGTTTAAACTAAATCTTGAAATAGAAGAATACATTGGAGATTTGCAAATTAAATTGGTTATTCTAAGTATAATTTAGCTAGAAATTGACAATTACTTACACATTCCATAAAGTCTTCAAGATTAAGAATGTTTTCAATTCCAACCACTCGGAATTTTTTATGTTGTCTGATTGAGAATTTTGTCTTCGTTTTGATCTCCTGTTTGAAACTTTGAGTGGTGGAATAAATCAAGAGAGCATTTCAACAATTTAATTGACGAGTTGATTAAAAATGGTCATTAAGCGACCACTTACCTTAGATATATAATTTGTTTTTAAATTTTATTCCATTCATTTGGCTAATTAGTACCTTTGTATATTTTATCAATGAAAGGCATCAAACCCTTTGTGACTCTAATGCACTTCGATCAACCGGATGCCCTTGAGAACAAGCATGGAGGCTTCTTAAATCTCAACATTGTGCAAGTTCCCACGCTAACATCCTTTACTATCTGCAACTTGTAATAAATGTAATATAAGCTCACTTCTTTCTTTGCAGAAATGAATTCAAGGACTATGCCCAGATTTGTTTTTAAAACATATGGAGATAGGGTTAAACACTGGGTTACAATCAATGCTCCACTGATTATGGCTAAAATGGGGTATGCGTTGGGAATAGGTCCACCAGGAAGATGCTCCGATAGAAACTTTTGTCCTAATGGTAATGGTGCAACTGAGCCTTACATTGTTTCCCATAACCTTCTTCTTGCTCATGCAACTGCTGCTAATCTTTACAAACAAAACTACCAGGTAAACCCTATCCCCATACCATATACAATGTGAATGTCAAATACGAGAAATGAAAACTCGAGCAATCATACTAATGCATTGGTTGGTTTGGTAGGCAACACAAGGAGGACAAATTGGAATAAGTCTTGTTGCACAGTATGTTGAGCCATTTTCAAACACATCACTTGATGTTGAGGCGGCAAGGAGAGCCATGGATTTTGAGTTGCGGTGGTTAGTACATGTTTTTTCTCAACTAATTTATCAAGATGTTATCAATTCGTAAACGGACAAATAATCGAATCAAGCAATATCAACGTAAAAGAAGACACGCACAAGAAATAAGATTTTGAAAAAATAGAATGTGATCGTAGGTATATGGAACCGCTGGTGCGAGGAGAATACCCAGAAAGCGTGAGAAGATTGGTGAAGGAGAGGCTACCTGTTTTCACTCCACAAGAGAAACACTCGTCAAAGGATCATTCGATTTCATGGGTATCAATTATTACACCTCCAGATATGGTAAAGACATTCCGTCAAGTCCAAATGCACACCACCTAGCTACTTGGTAGATCCAAATGTAAACGTGACGGTGGATAAAGATGGTGTTCTTATTGGTCCGAATGCGGAAGTGCATTTATCTACGTTTACCCTCAATTACTTTACATGATTCTTAAGTTTATGAAGGAAAACTACAGTCAAGACCTTACGTTTTACATTGCTGAGAATGGTTCGAAAAATGAACTCCTCCATGCTTTCATTCTATTATATATTTGTTAAACCCTTCACTAATTAATGCAGCTTCTTAATGAATTAATTGAAAGCTTCGGATGGGGAGAAGGTTACAGGTCAACTACGGGCTTTATCATGTTGATTTTATAATCTTACTCGTGCACCTAAAGAATCCGCTAAATGGTACCATGATTTTATTAAAGGTGTATGAAAATAGAAGTATCAAAGATCAAATTATGTTGAGATTTTTTTTAATTAATACTATCTATGTAAGCCTATTGTATAAGTCATGTGTATATATTTTATTTTATGACATTTTGAACTTGCTGAAAGTTTTAGATTTTTTTTGTTATCCTCCGATTCCAAAACTTTGTCTTGATTAATCTGAAATTACCTACGTACCAGTGGCGGAACACAGTGAGACATGTGGGGCCATGGCTTACCCAAAATTTGAAAATTTTCCATTTTAGACCCTTAAAATTTTGATAAAATTAATTTGACCCCCACAAAAATTTTAAAAATTCATATTAAGCTTTAAATTTTTTAATGTTCTTAATTAAACCTCTACCATAATTTTTAAAAATTCTCATTAAGCCGAATTTTTAAAAAAATTAGTTAGACACCAATTTTTTTGAAAAAATATAAACTGAACTCTTCAAATTTTAAAAATTTTAATTTAAACATCTAGTATTTTTAGAGTTTTAAGTTGGCCCTCCCAAGCTCTATTACCAAGTTCAGCCATTGTACGTCGTACACCTGACCTTGGTGGGTAAGTCTCTCAGCATGATTTTCTACATACACAAAGACTCAAACTCTAGGCCTTTCTTAATCGATATCAAGCTATTTACTACTTGAACCAATCCCTGTTGGTGAAAGCATTAGATTTCATTATCATTTTGTTGAATGCTTGTTTCTATTATTGTTGGATGCATATTAGAACGCATGGATAAAAAATACAATCCATTTAAGATATGGAAGATAAAATAAAATAAAATATATTTATTTAATATTTATGAACATATTTTATGTTTATAACATTAAATGAATATATTAATAAAAATCAAATTAACGAACATGAATGCATATAATTTTAAATGAAAGAAGAAATACAAATTTAAATTTTTTAACAAACATAAATCAAACTCAAGTAAACTTAAGAATAACAAACAAATATAAATAGGAATTTGTTCGTTCAAGGTTGTGTGTGTAAAAATACATAATTAAAAAATAATTATCAACTTAAATTGTCTATTTTATAATAATATTATATCGATATTATTCGAATCGTATAATCATATTGATGATGTATTTTCAACGATCACTTCCTATACTCGAGCTCCTCCGTCCACGGCAATCAACCGGAACTCTCCATTTCTGCCATGGAAACAGCACTGTTATTTCGGATCACCACAAGACCATTTCCTACAACCTAACCATTCAACAAACCAAGACCAAAGACAACCTCAAAAGCTGCCCCCTTTGCTCCTCTTTTAGGCTTCGATCGCCTCCCACCGACATTTCTGAGTTTTTCAACAAACCAAAACCATACCCCGCACCATCAACACAAAGTGGTCGACCAATCGGGTTGCTGAACAGATATGTCTTGTGCATGGTCTTTGGTCTTATGATTCTTTTTCATGTCTCTTTGGTTTTAGCGGACGACAGAAATTAGTACAATAATTTGTTGGTAGGGTTTACTTTTGCCTGTTTTTCTGTTGATGATCAGTTGATGTCTTTGGCGGTTGGACCTGGTCCGAGTTCCAGTAATATGGATAGCAACACCGAGAAGAAGACTCCTCATGAAGGTGAGGAAGAAGAAGATAACGATGAGAGCAGTTTGCATTTGGGCCCACAGCGTACTCTCAAAGAACAGCTTGAGAAAGATAAGGTTAATTCATTTTTGTGTTTTTCAATAACACGTGTATGTATGTATGTTCTATTACATGCATTCAAGATTTTATTATCATTATTCTATGTTGGTGATGGCTGTGAGTGTAGGATGATGAGAGCTTAAGGAAGTGGAAAGAGCAGCTTCTTGGAGGTGTGGATATTAACAACATTGGAGGTACTGATTATGTATGCATAAATCCAATGCATATATGGATACTAAGAGCATTAACAAATCTGCGTTTTTCCTTCATGTTATTCAGACTCAATGGTGCATTTTAGATATATGTATGTATATATTTGATTGCAGAAACACTTGAACCAGAAGTGAAGTTCCAAAGTGTGGCAATCGTGTCTCCAGATAGGGCAGACATAGTACTTGAGATACCTGCAGATGGGAAGCCACAGGGCCTATGGTTTACACTGAAAGAAGGCAGCCATTATAGCTTGAAGTTCACTTTCCAAGTTAGCAACAACATCGTATCTGGTCTCAGGTACACCAACACCGTCTGGAAAACTGGTGTCAAAGGTATAACCTAATCTAATCTACTCAAACCCTCCTACCATTCTTCTTACCCCAAAACCCTACGGAATACTTCCCTTTTCTGTTCCAGTTTACGGCACCAAAGAGATGATTGGAACTTTCAGTCCTCAGTTAGAGCCTTATACACATGAAATGCCAGAAGAGACAGCCCCATCTGGGTTTTTGGCTAGAGGAACATACACTGCAAAAACAAAGGTTAATTCGTGTTCAACACGTACTCGACTATATCGAACCCGAGTGACACCAATTTTGTTTTCGTTTTTGTTTTTTCAGTTCCTTGATGATGATAACAAGTGCTACTTGGAGATCAACTACACATTTGACATCAAAAAAGATTGGGCATCTGCTGAATAGATCAGAATAAGATTTGATGATCAGTTCATGGAGTTAGTGCATGTTCTTGTCATGCCTACTTATATATATATGTTCAACCTTCGGACAATTTTCCTACAGCTAGTTTTGTTTACCGCAATAAACACAAGTGATGAGATGAGAGGGGCTTCACTTGGGAAATATTTAAGCTTTTTATGAGCAAGTTCAGTTTAATTAGCATTTTCTTGATAAATTAACGATGTCTAGAACTCTAGATATTGCTCTTCTATTCCATCTATGTGCATATATTAAAAATGAGTTATCAGTCGATGACTTTTTTATCATCAATTTGTTCTTTGTATGATTTTACAATTGTTATCATTTTTTCTATTTTTATGATTTTATTTGATTTTTTTGTATGAGTTAAAGGATTCGACCCAAACTTGAAAGTTGATCCACTAATTAACAACAATCGAGTGACCAAAGCAATCGGAATTCGAAAGTTCAATGAAAACTAAAAATTGGGTGATCAATGAACTCTTGTTACAAAACCATCTCCACACAAAGTAAAATCGAGAATTCGAACACAATTTCAGTTTTAGGGAATCAACAACATACACATATCTAACAATGACACTTTCCATTCCATGGGATGTGTATCCCACGTGCTATAGTCTTCAGAACATCATCTACCCAATCTTTGTTCTAACATTTAAACACAGGGATTCAGACATAATTTACCTTAGATTTTATCGATATCTTCATCTTCGAACTCGACGTAATCATCTGCACCCCTGTCATCCTCCTGTCAACAATGCCTTCGTTGAGACGGGTGTTCTCCGGAAGCTCATAGGCTTTCAACAGCCTTGCTTCATCAGGCATACTTTAGGATCACATCAGCCTTGTAGTCCTGAAGTCTCGAAGGCCAACGAGAATTATATCGCCAGCAGCAATCCAAACCTTTTGTGCATTTTCCGCGGATATGACAATGACGCTTAGTACCGTCGATGCACATTGCCTGTCACCGGCCATTTCCTAGCATACGAAGCACTTGGGCATACTCCTGCCCGTCTACCTTGAGGACGAGTTCACGCTTTTCGTCATCGGCTTCATTCTTTCATCCTTTTCCCTTGTTCTTTGGCATTGTTTTCCCTAAGGAAAAAACAATACATTTTACATCATCCACAAAGCTTTAAGATGCCATGAAATTGAAATGATTTAACACGTGTAACCTCAGCGCGAATAACAAAGTACAGATGGATATTAACAGAAAAAAAATCAAACCCTAAAGAAAAACTAGATACTCCAAAATTCCTATCTCGTGATAAAATCTTCTGAGGCTGTATATACACACACAAAAGGATAGAAACCATTCTTTAATTCAGTATTGCATGAAACATCACAACGTAACTCTGAAAAAAGTTAAAATTCTAGGGGAAATTATCATCAATTTTAGGCGTTAAGCAATTATTACCGGAAAATTGAAGCCAGAAACAAGCGAGAAACGAATCAATATTGATCAAAATAAGAAGAAGAAAAAAAACAATACCTTGGCGCTGGTGCCGCCGAGCAAAGAGTTGAAGACGAGAGAGAAGATGGTAAAAGAAAGTGAATTCGAATCTCTCTAACTCCAAATTCCCCAACCCTAAGCTTAGCTTAGCTGAGGACAACTCCACCCACAATCAAACGTTTGGGTTTTGATTTGGGCCAGGATGTGTTTTAACAAAGCCGATCTAATTTCGGCTTTTTGGTCCAATAGGACAATCAGTTTTATTAATTAGCTCAATAGAACATATAGAAGTTTATTTTGGGATCTAAGATATTCGTTAGGGTGTTCAAGAAACTTGTCACGTAGAGGTGATCGGTTTATTTAAATAATATTTTTTATTTAAACTCACTCGTCGAGGTGACGAGTTTACTTAAATAATATTTTTTATTTAAACTCGCTCGTCGACTGACGAATTCTAAATCATTATATCAACTATGATAATCCCAAAATAAACTTTTATATATACTATTGGAGTAATTAATAAAAGTTTTTATTCTATTGGGACAAAAAAACCCTAATATCATATTCCATTTTTTTTCATTTGAGAAAACATGGTTCTAGGTGTTGAAGTTTGATCGATTTACATTTTAAGTATTCCCACTTTCAGATAATATATGCTTTTTTTAAGAACTATGAGTAGGGATGGTCATAAGTTGGATCGGTTCAATTTTTTAGTTCACTCGAATTTAATTTAAAAATTAAATATCTTCGTCCGTATTTGTTTTGATTCGAGTTTAGGAGGATTCTACTCAACTTGAAATTTAACTCATTTTTAATTCAAAATCCACACTCGGTTCGACCCAATTTGACCTAAATATATATAATTCATTTTTATAAGATGAAATAAGAACCTAATTGAGAAAAAAAACATAAAAAAAGATATAATTCAATTATTTCTAAATATATAATTATAATATTGTCAGGTCATACAAGGTGAGTGTAATTTTTTTATTTTAAACTTGAATTCGACTTGACTCGACTTAAATTAAAAAACTAATTTTATAATTCAACAAGGTCGAGTTTAAGTGTCACATTAAATTTGAATGAGATATAACCTGTGGGAGGATTCTCATTAGAGAAATTGTGGGCAATGATAATAAAAGTAGAATAAACACGTAGAGAAAAAAAAAGTGTTGCTAAGATGTGTTCAATTGTTTGAAGCAATGGGCCAATTGGCTGGCATCAAATATAGGGATGGACATGTCGCATGGGATCCGAAACCAAAGGTTCTGACCGATTCGATTGGGTCGGATTTTTAAAGAAAAATTAAGTTTGGGTCGAGTCAAGTCTTTTAGAGGTTACGTTTGGGTCGGGTCGATTCGGGTTTAGAGTGAAAATATCGACCGATCTTACCGAAAAAATATAATTTTACCTTATATATTTAGGGATAATTACAATAATACTCATATATATATTATTTTTAAAAATTAAATCCCTATTTTTATTGAATAAAAGTAATAGTTTTTAATAAATATATTATTTTGGATCAGGTGGGATCGCGTTTGGATTTTATCTGAAAAGGTAGGTCAGATTCAGGATGGTAGAAGGTGTATATTTTTTTGGTCGAGTGGAGGATGTATAATTTTCAGGTTGGGTTAGGTGGATAAAAAATTGGACTCGACCCGACCCACGCCCATCCTTAATCAAATACGATCATTTTCCTGTTGCTAGGGATGGTTATTATCTTTAAAGATTCCAAATTCGAATATCATTAACTACACAATATTTAAGCGTTCATTGTCTGAAAATTTGAATATTAATTGAAAACCGATTGTTTTAAATATTTGAATATATTATTTGAGTTTCAACAATTGTATCTATAAATAAATAAAAAATATTTACATATATAACCGTGTTATTACCCTAAATTATTAAAAACTATATATCCAGCTCAATTAGTAGAGCACAAGGTTCTTAACTTTGAGGTCGTGGATCGAGTCCCACGGAGGGTATTTCATAATTCGGAGGTCTCTTACGGAAGTTGCTCTCAACCTGGTGTTGGGGGTAGCCTACTATCTTACCTCCCCTTACCCCATATATATATATATATATGAGAAAAATAGACAGCCATTTATATATATATATATATATATATATTTAATCCGTTTTCGCTAAATAATTGGTGGTAAGCCTAAACACGTACATCTTCGTCGCCGTTTATATAATTCGTTTTGTTGGACACCTTCTGTTTATCAAATCATTTTAAACTAGGGTTACGCTTTCAATGAGATAATTTCGGTCAATTGTTGAAAATCTAAAAATTACACTACTGTCAATTTCTATCTTCTACTTAATATTCATAAATATTATCAAAATATTCAATTATAGAATATTAATTAAAATAATTTGATAAAAATCGAATAAATGTTTTTCCTGTTTAAAGAATCATCGAAAGATCACATCTTTATTTTCACAATCGAAAATATGTCGGACAAAAATAATACAACTCCAACATCATGAAACAACATGGAGGTTGGGGAGTGTCATGACTCGTGCCCCACTTTGCTTTGCTCAAGTTTCATGAAATGAAAAGCTATGGCCTATTGATGAATGGTGGCAAAAGAAGAAGCTTTATCCAGTCAAAAGATGAAGCAATAAACGAGACAAAACGGGGCTTAACTTATTGCTGTTTATCTTCTTTGTGTGGTTCTCGGGAGAAGGGACGATGCATTGAACATGTCCTACATTTCATCCATGGTGGCACCACTTACACCTATTCATGTAACATGCAAGAATCCACCACCTCAACTGCTCTTTCTTTCTTCCCAAAAAAAAAAAGACAATTTAGTGTCTGAATAGATCCTTTTTATTTCAGCATCCTACTATATATTATTTTACAGATTTAATGGAAAGCACATGTTCATCCTTTAAAGTGCAGTAACATCTGTTCCTTTTACTTGTTGGTATGCATTGGTAGATCAATCGGAGACTAACGCTTCCTACTACCATTGCGTTTCACATGCCAGCCTTAAAAGATAACTGCAGAATGTGCATATTTATAGCAGCACGCATATGTAGAGATCATTAATTCTAGTTTGTAGAATATCATTTGAACAATGGAATACTTTTTCTGAATGTTCTTTGGCGAACATTGGCTTTCCTTTTCAGATACAAAAAAAGGGCTGTGACAAATTTGATCCATCCTTTTATCCTCGTTTCAAAAAATGGTATGAATGTATGATCTTCCCAGATTTTTTCAGTATCATACTTGACTCATATGGTTCCTGAGTTATAGAATTGTGTATAGCATTTGAATTAACAAGAATGGGCACTATTGCCAGTCAATGAGTTGATCTATGATCGTCATTTTCTTTTTTGCTCAATGCTGGGATTGGAAGCAAAGTCCGACGAGACTTCTTAGGGGAACAATTATTCAGGAATCATTCTTAGCCATTAACAATGCACACACACATCTAAGACAGCTGCTCAAACTCGGGATTTCTAGGGAGAACAATACTCTATTTTACCACTGAGGTCGCTCAATGGGTTGACCCTTTTTCCATTTAAATATGAGTTAAATTACTAAACTTAATTGTTCACTTTTAATGCTATATGCAGCATCGAGGTGAAAGACGAGGGCTCGGTGGAATATTTTTTGATGATCTAAATGACTATGATCAAGAATGCTTCTTTCATTTGCCACTGGTAACTCCTCAATACTATTCTTTGAGTGTTCCCATCTACAACTAGCAATACCAGCGGTTTTCAGTTTCTTTAAATAGACCAATTTACTATGAATTTACAGAATGTGCGAATTCTGTGGTTCCTGCATACATACCAATCATAGAGAAAAGGAAGGATACCCCATTTAATGAGAGCCAAAAGGCATGGGGTCGCTATGTAGAAGTCAACTTGGTAATGAATTGTATTTCATTAAATTTCACCTAACAAAAGGCCTTAAAATATATTTCATTTGTTAATGAAAGGTCTACGACCGAAGTACCACATTTGGAGACTGAAGACCGGAGGTCGAATTGAAAGTATTCTCGTTTCTCTCCCTTTATCTGCACGATGGGAATATGATCATGTAAGCCTTCTTCCCTTCTCCTCACAACTGAAAAAAAATTCTAACACGTTCTTTGCCAAGATTTGCTGTGAGCTGCGAGTGATCATGAATGCCCTATTTATTTGTTTGGCATACAGAAACCAGAAGAGGGAAGCGAAGAGTGGAAATTGTTGGACGCCTGCATCAATCCTAAGGAGTGGATCTAATACTTCTGGTTGAGTTTCTTTCTACTTTTGAAGTTTCCCATTAGTCCCTCATCTTTCAGATACTGGTGTTTTTCTGCAGGAGATGTAAGTTGGTCCAATGATTTTGTTGTATTAAGATGATAAGAGACTATGAGATGAGTTAAGAGACCCAACAATTGCTAATAAATTTAACTGTTAACATCTTTGCGTTACTAAATGATTTCTTAATGTGAATTCTTTTAATGTGTTGAAAGGAATAGTTTGCCCCCTGCAACTGCATTTTTTATTCCCTTCATTGTAATTATCAGTCTGGATAATGAAATAAAATTACTAGGCAAAAGCCTTTCGCAATGTTTTTGTCAATCTGTTCAACATTAACAATGGAGACGGCCACAAAAGATGCTACTTGGTTGTAAAGTCAACTATCTATTCTTCTACCTTGTCAAAAGAAAACAACAACTTCGATGAGTACCTAGACTGAAGGTTATTGATAAGAGTTCCGATTCAACTCAAAATGATGGCATAACTCTTGTTGTTGCGTCGAATTTTGACTTGGTCAATCGAGGAACTTGTTCCCTCATTCTGTCCTATAGATTCCCCAACAACATTCTGTGCAGCTCCGATGGCTCGATACACAGGGCAAGTAAGCAACACATTGTGCAAGAATCACATTACACCCAGGCATGCCCAAGAAATGACAAGCCTGATAACAAGAAACAGCTGGTTTAGAGTAAGTGGATCAACCGACCCGACATCCTCAGTGGCAAACCTTATTAGCCTGCGACCAATGTAAAGGGGATCTTCGCCTCCTTCCAGCATTCTAGCCAACCGTTGCTTCTGAATCAAAATCCCTATCGGTCTTTAATCCTACACTTTTTTGCTTCAGTTGATGATCGGCCACTAGAGCAGCTGCAGTGGTGGCATATATTTCTAAAGCATTTGATGCAACACGAGCATCACCATCACAACTCGTGGACAAACATTCAACAGCATCATCATTAACATCGACTCCCTATGATCCGTGACAATCCCTTTCAACATGATGAGGTTAAGGATTCAATGTAAGAAACCTACACCTAGACAGCAATGGCAGATTCAAATGGAACGGAGGAGATGGCAAAAAAGAATCCTGTTGTGATTTATTAAACCTATGAACTTCATCAACAAAAAGCAGTCTTATTATTATTGGTTCTCGTCTAGATTCATCAACAGCATCTCTAACATCCTTAACACCACTAGTAACAGCAGATAAAGAAACAAATCAATACGGACCCCAAAAGTTAATAGGATGATCGGGGTGGTGGCTGTGGGCTGAGGGGATGAAGGGGAAGTGGAAAGCTTGGTGTGAAGAAGGAAGAAGCAGTCGAGTTTGGGCTGAAATAGAGAGGGGATTTGATTGGAGGATTTCTGGGAAAGAATCCATCCGGTGGTTTACAAATGTATGCCGTTTAGAAAATGTTTACCTATATATTTAGACTTCAGAGCTGCAAAAAGCAGGAGGAAGATGAATCTAACCTTGGGGTTCAAAAAATGTAATAATACTTGCATGACAAACTATTAAGTCACGGATTCGAATCGAATGAACCAATCATAACGTGAGTGTGTGCTTAGGGGAGAGAAAAAATAATGAAAGAAAATGGATATAGATAAATAGGTCTCACATCTCAGGTCATTAATTAAAGTCTCAAAATCTGGCTTACAAATGTAATACCGAAGTTCTCTAAAGCTGTTATAAACTAGTCTGACATTATGGAAACAAAAAACTAAATTCTGCTGCCAAGCTAAATAGCAGAACATATCCCTCGAAAAACAACCCCTTACTTCTTGTCTTCTTTCTCAGCCTCGGCAGCCTTCTTCAACCTGGCACCAATGTGGCGCTCATTCATACATTCAACACGAAGCTTGTTGTAGGCCTTGAATGACTTCATCTCCTCGGTGACCTTCACCAGCTCAACTGAAGGCTTTTCACGAAAAATGGGTATGTATGATCCTTGGACTTGGGTTGCTGTTGCAAGCTCCTCGGCAGAAGAATCACCAGCCTAGACAAACACAGAAGAACAAACAACACTTAACACCAAAGATAAAATCATTCAACATCGCAAAACGACCCACACAAGTTTACCTTAAACTTGCGAGCACGTCGTGGGAAGACAACGAGCTTAGCCTTGTAAGTCTTAAGCCTCTGAACATTGGCTTGAAGACCTTCAAGAGATCGGTTCTTACGACGATGATCAACTGCGATACCAATGGTAGGTGACAATTTCTTCGATATACCAGCAGCCTGGTCAGAGAAGGTTACAACAGCACAAACAATATCAAGACGAGGAATCCATCTTATCTAAACATAATAGATATACAAACATTTAAAAGCTAATACAAGTACCAATAAGATTCACTGTTCTTGCTGTAAAACTATATACTTGGTAGTCAACAAGGGTGTAAATGATAGGAGTGAGTATTTGATAAAATCAGGTCGAGTCAAATTAAACAAATTGTAAGTCCAATATAAATATACATTTATTCATATCTTTTTCATATATGATATATCATTCAGATTTCAGAGTTGAGGGACATGACTCGAACTTAAAAACCAATCTACCAGTTACTAAAAGTTTCGAGTTATTTGAGTTATTCAAGTACAATTTTATCACTCAAACTTTATTTGAGATCTTTTTTAGTCGAATGAGGTTTTTAGCATCAAATGAGTCAAAAAATCTGCTCACCCGTGGCAAATGGTATTTATACTAGATCAAATGAAAAAACCTGAAACCAGAAAGATAGAAAAAGAGCATACCTTAAGCTCTTCAAGAGTGAAACCCTTGCCGGATCTCAACTTCATGTTGTACTTCAAAGTCTGGCCATGGACAATCGGACGTAAAGGTCCATCAGTTGGCCTTGGGAAGATCCTCACGGCCTTCTTTTGCCTCGCTGCAAATCCCAAAACCACAATTGTAAATCACTTTTTCCATTCAAAAAACGCATCCTAATGAGCTTACAAAAACAGGTAAAAACAAAAACCCACAACAGATTTAGCTCACCGATTCTTCTTCTCGCCTTTCTTGCAGGCTGATTAAACCAGGTTTTCACATAGTTCTGCCAATGCTTCTTAAAATGGCCATTTGGTATAACGTTGTTATGCTTAACCATGGCTTACCTGTGATTGAACATGAAGAAAGAAATCAACTTGATAAATGATAATAACAATGTGAAAAGAAAACTGTGGAAGAAGATACCAGAGGAAACAAAAAGGGAGAACCTTTGGCTGTGATGCTGACCAGAGACAGAAGTGGAGGAGAGCGGCGCACAGGAAAATTTAAGCTCTTAGCTTCTTTTATTAGGCTTTTTCTCGATAGTGGTGGGTTTTCCTCTCTTTTAAGTGGGCTCAACCGAAATTGAAGCCCAAATATTAAAGGTGAAATTCTATAGATATCCTCGTAGTATATACTTGTTAACGGATTTAGTCTTTAATTATAATTTGATGGTTTCTGGTCCATTTATTTTTCGAACTTTTCAGTCTCGACATCGAGTTTCTTTCAGTTAATTTGTTAAATACTTTGATATATCTTTTAAAACTCGTAATCAAGTAACATAGACACCTTAAAAATTTTAATAAATAAACAAAAAGACAAAAAAGAGAGAATAAAGATATATTGTTTGTCTAACAAATAAAAGTATATTTGAATATTCAGATAACTCAAACAATTCTTATTATCGTTGTCATTCAGAAGTTTAGCAGATTCAAACAATGACGGAACTTGGTGATAGAGATTGAGAGGTAAACTTAAACATTAAAAAATTAAGAAGTTTAAATTAAATTTTTCAAAATTTTTGAAGGGTTTAGTTTACTTTTTTTCAAAAGAAAATTATGGTCTTGACTAATTCTTTTTAAAAAAAATTGAGAGGCTTAATGAGAATTTTAAAAATTACGGAAGGAATTTTAATTAAGAACATTAAAAATTTTAAAATTTAATATGAATTTCTAAAAAAATTGAGGGCAGATTAAATATTTTAAAAATTCTAAGGGTCTAAATTATAGTTTTTAAAATTTTAAGGGGCATGCTCCCACTAATCTCTCTTAGGTTCCCCCACTGGATTCAAATATTCAAAGGATGATAATCTTTAAGGGTAAACTATACTAGTAACCACCCAACAATAACTTCTTTTCACTTTGACCACCATTTTTGAATTTTCATCAATTAGGCCACTCAACTATTTAAATACATTCAATTAGGCAACTTGTTGTTAGCAGTTAACAGAAGTGTTGACGTGGCAGTTAGAAAAATTAGTATAATTACATATTTGGTCACTTTTACTTATATATTCTATCAATTTAGTCTTAATTTTAATAAATTAAAATAAAAATTAAACTTCTAATAGAATGATGACATGTGTCATCATTTAATTTAATGATTATATTTATTTTATATTAATTAATTTAAATTTAATATATTTATTTTCTGCCAATACGAGGGTTACACAAAAATAAAAATAAAGTAGATTGAGGTGATCATGGAATCAATCCTAAGTATATTTGGTGAAAAGAATAAGAGTCCCACCACTAAGCCAAGCTATTTGTTTGGTTCCAAGAATACTATATGACATCTAGATGTTATATCATAGGACAAAGTTAATTGTTTGACCCAAACTAACATTAAAAAATAATTTTTTTATCTTAAACTCATATATATATAATCTTAAATTCACATATTTAATTGTCGCTCTCCCTTTATCTTATTTTTCTTTGAGTTTGTATTATTTTTTATAGATCAGATCAACTTTTTTTCTTTGATTTTGTTTAACCGACGATGACATCAGTTTTAATATTAGTTGCCGACCGTCGATTCTATTTTTTTCTCTATTTATTCTTTTATTTTTTTAATAAGAATATTTTTGTATGTGTTGCATGTTTATTCTTGCCTTTATCACACATTTATCTCTATCATTGTAACATATTTTTTTTTCTCTCGATCGTTTGTTAGTTCTTTTATTTATGTTTTCTCATGGTATAATTTACCCATCTTTAATTCAGTTAGATAGTAGTACGGATGAAGGTACAATCCCTTTCAAAATTTTGGTCTAATAACATTTTAGATCCCTATTCATTTAATCTCAAATAAAATTAAACTTGTGTTCCTTTACTTTTTTAGATAAAATACCTAATAAGTCTTTGTTATTTTGAATTTAGATAATTTGTCCATCTCAATATTTGACCATAGCTTCGTCCTTCGATAACAGTACTAGGATAATTTACTAATAACAAATTTACTAAAATCATATAGATCGGTGGTAAAGGAAATTTTTACTATCTTTAAAAATATAAATTCGTGTAGTTCTATCTGTAAGGTGTATGCATTATCAGTTAATTAAGAAAATTCTGATGACAAAACTACCTTATGACCATTCTCGTATATTCGACTTTGTTGTCTTCATATTAGGGATGAGTATGGGTCGGGTCAAGTCGGATTTTCGGCCCACCCGACCCGACCCGAAAAATATACACCTTTCACCCGACCCGATTTTTTTGAGATCAAATTCGAATCTGACTCAACCTAAGATAATATATTTATTAAAAAATATTACTTTTATTCATTAAAAATAAGGATTTAATTGAAATAAAATAATATAAATAGGACTATTATTGTGATTATCCCTAAATTTAAGGTTAAATTACTTTTTTCGGGTCCGGTCCGGTATTTTTCATTGTAAACCTGAAAACGAACCTGACCCGAACCCAAATTTTTTTAAATTTCCAATGTTTGAACCCGTCAAGTACGGTTCCCATGAACATCCCTCCTTCCTATACTAGTCACAAGAATTCAATCATAACTCAACTATAGAAGGTATCTAATTCTTAAGCAATCTACCATTACAACATTACAAAACTACCAACAATACTACAAGTTTCCCATAGTTGTCACTAAAGAAAGAACTAATGAGCTTTAATCCTGAAAAGGAAGGAACAAATCTATGCTTAGTACAAAGGGTTTAAGCCCAAATCGCCACAAAAGACATTAGAAAAGCGCCGAGAAAAAGAGACACTGGCACTTATTTTAAGTATTCTATTGTTTAGGAGCTTTGGGTTCATTAAATCAACAGCCAGAAGGTTCACCAACGCCATGTATATTAAGATCCCAGCCGATGCCGCGCTGAGCATCCGTCGAATGATGAGGGCTTTGGGGTTGTTCTCATCGTACACGTTCGATATCCCTATTCCAATACGATTCCGACTGGGGTCCTAATACTCACGGTCATGATCATCACGGTCCGTGCCTCCAATTGTGCCTAAAAAAGATTATCGAATAGTAAAGATATGTCTCGAAAGTCGAAAACGAGTGTCTGGAATTCGAATGATATTGTTACCTGAGAAATGCATCCGCCAACTCCTATGCCTTCAAAGACCTGATGAGCCGGAAAGTGCAGCCAACAATGATTTTATTTCATTTGGATCATGAGAAGCACCCAAAATGTATCCCTATTATAACAGAGTGCACTAGTACCCCGAATTCCAAAACCTTCAAAAATACATCATCTCTGTAACATCTGTTTAATTATTTTATCTTAAATATAAAAAAGAGATCGTAATTTCCAAAAAAGAAAAAGTACATTCGATAACAACCAGTATCCAATAATCTCGGTTGAAATCGGAGAATGTTCGGTTTCTCTTGATGTCTCTTCATCTCGGCAAATCTGCTGGGTGTTATTATTTAAGTGAGACTTGGTGTATTGACAAGTGACAAACATATCCGCCATCAATGTGCCAATGGCTCACACCATGGCCACAATCCGGCAAATGGGAACCTCCTCCAAGGATAATCATCGAGGCAAGGAGATGTCAAGTACCTGGTGGCGTCCTAAAAGACGTGGATGAACACGGTCGACAATATGACGCCCGAAGCGAAGGCTTTGCTCACGAAGAAAACGTTCCATTCAGGGCGTAAAGCGTCGATCGTTTTCCGGAGGAGAGGAAAGCTAACACCAATTGCTCCGGCAACAAAAATCCAAACTATAGCAACTACCTTGTATTTGAGCGCTGGACGGTCGTTTCGGTTTCGGTCTTTGGCTTTGCATGTGCACCCTCCACAAACCAGGGACGGAAATAACACGACGAAACAACAGAGAAACGCGAAAAATCGAGGTCTTTTAACGTTGATCATGGCCGGAAAGTGAAATCCGAATCGATTAAAGTGTACTCAAGTCATTGTGAATGATGGGGGCAAAATGAGGCCATCTTCAACATTATATTAGTTTTTTGTGTAATTTAAAAGGATTTTCCAACTTAAGAAAGAAGCATAGGTTTGTAGAGATAAAAACATGAAGAGAATTTGAGAAGATGGAGGGGTGCTCAATGAATGTCGCCATAGGAACTATTAAGAAGAGAACTTAAAGCTCTCTTTGTCACGGCCAAGCTTAAATTGGTTAAATTCTAACTAAATGTGGACATTCTTTGGGGGATTATTTTTGGAAAGTATAACTAGATTAGGGTTTAGGCAAGTACTCTGTGAGAAACTTAATATTGGATTTTATAAATATTCAGTGGTGGATCGAGAAAAAAATTTCAGAGTGGCCACATGTATATTAATAACAGAAAATTTTCGTACGGGGTGGACACAAAAAATTTTAAGGTTGATACATTCAGTAAAAATAAACAATTAATATAAAAAATTATTTGGATTCCAGGATAGGCTCGTGCCACCCTGAATTCTACATACATCTACCACCGTAAATGTTTATATATAGTGAAGTAGTTAGTTTTATTAGAAAGATGAATTATCCAAAATATAATGATTGTTTGTAATTACAAACGTAAACTAACCACATTATTAAGATGTTTTTCTATAATCATTAACACAAAAATTATTTAATATCACACGAGCATCATACAAGGAAAAAAAATTAAAATCTAACAAAAAAAATCGAATAAAATATAGATACAAACAGATCTTATTGTATCAACAAATAAACCATAAAATGAGATAAAGCTACAAAAGACCACCGACAAACCATAAATTAGAATAACTCGAAATGAAAAAACTATTTTCATAAACACAAATCACTTATCAAAATCTAATCTGAATGTCCAAAGTAAAACAATCAACATGATAATAAATATTAAGGGTCTGTTTGTTTCACTGAAAACAAATTCCAAAAAATGAATTACATTTTTTGTAAAACAATTTACGGAAATCATTTTCCGGTGTTTGAATGATGTTGTGTAAAACATTTTCCGTTGTTTGGTAAATTTTCCTAAAAACATTTTGTGAAATCTTTTTTTAGTGAAACAAACACATTACAATTTATTTTTTAAAACTTTATATCTTTTTTT